GCCCCAGTGCAGCTGCTTGCACATGCTCGACATTTTAGCGGATCTTAGGCACGCGAGCCCCTGCCGCCAGTGGGTTCTGATGAACAAATGCCCCACTGTTTGTGCTGCTTGGGTGGAGTGTAACGTACGGTAACGTAAGGCGGAAACAGCAACCAAGGGAACCATCGCGTCCTCCCATTTATTACTGGACGCGCCTTGTCTGAATCTTTAATTGATTTCCGGTTTTGGCTGTTCTCGACTTTTCGACTTTCCACCAAGCGCCTCGAAATGCTCTTTTTCTTCAAGTCAAAAGTAGAACCATAATGGATGAACAGCGAAAAGCCGAATATGAAAGCCAGAGTCTCCAGTTGCGTGCAGAACTGAAGCAATTCGAGGCAGAATGGGCCCAAAAGAACGACGGCAAGAAGCCGTCCCGTGAAGCCATCAAACAGAATCCGGATATTGGTATGCCATCCAGACTGGTCTTCTTTGACGATTCTAACATGTGGTCCCTTACAGCCCAGAAATACAAGCAGTACAACAAACTTCGCGACATACTCTCCGGAAAGATCCCTCCTCCCACCAGGAGCGACAACCAAGACCCAAGCCAACGCAAGCGCAAGCAACCAGACACATCCCTCCCATCCGCCTCGACTCCCTCCAAACGCAACAGGTCTGCCGCTACCCCCAAGTCACAACACTATTCTGCCGTACATGAAGCGATCACTCCAGATGTAGCGAGGAAACTCTTCAGTCCCGCCGTTCCCTCTTCGATTGGGCCTACCCCCCAAAAAGATGGCCGTGTTCTCGGTCTTTTCGATCTTATATCCCATACCCCATCCAAATCGACAGATGAAATCAAACCACGAGCATCCGGATTTACAGCTACGCCAAGTAAACGCCGCCATGCCCTCGACCTCGAGAACGACAAGGATGATGATGATCATGACGAGAAGGACGGCAAGGAATTCATAACCCCCAGCATCCCGCGACATCGTAACCTCGACAGAACCCCATCCTCCGGGCGCAATCGAAACCTCCTCGATAGCTTCCTCGGAGTCCGTGCTACCAAGACATCCACACCACTAAACAAGAACACTGGGAACTCACCCTCGAAAAACAACCTCACCAAGACACCATCCGGCGAGCGGTCGGTGTCCAAGCTGCAGTTCGCCACACCCGCTTTCTTGCGTCGTACATCTGCGCCGCTACCACCCGTGGACGAAAATGGCGAGTGGTTGGACATTGAGCCCTTGAAGCTCCCACGAAAACCGTTCAGCATAGCAAAAGGGAAAGGGCTTAGCAGCGTGGTGGCCAGCCTACGGAAGATGGAGGAAGAAAAGCTGGATGAGGAGCTGGATATGTTGAGGGAAATGGAGGCGATGGAACAGGGCGGAATGGGTCCTCCACCACCAAAGAAGACGGTTGCATCGACAAGTGAAGATACGGAGAAGAAGAAGCAAGTAACAGACCCTGCGGGGGCAGAGGTTGTACCAGAAGAGGAGAACAATTTCGAGGAGGACGAGGCAGCTCTAATTGAAGTTGAAGCGAGCTTCCTCGAATCACGATCATCAAAGAGGAAGAAAGAGAGGCGACCGGTTCTACTGAGCGGCTTCGATGATGAAAATTTCTACGACAGTCAAGATGAGGAGGACCTGAGCAAGGAGGGATTGGATCGCAATGGGCAGCCACTACGAGTGTTCAAGAAGAAGGGACAAAAGAGGACGACCAGGAAGGTCAACATGCGACCGACAAGGACAAAACGACCCAGTGCACCAATTGCCGAGGAAGAGGATGACGGTGTGGAAGAACACAACGACGTGATACCGGAAACTCAGTTCGACGCGACCAAGAACCTGGATGGCGATGATCACCACACTCTGGATTCGTTGTCGTCCGGCGGATCAGGATCGGAATTTGATGATGGGTCAGAAGGCGAAGATGAAGAAGCGGGGGCGAGCACTACAAAGGCTGCAAAGGCTGCCGCAAAGAAAAAGGCGCCGCCGGCAAAGGAAAAGACAAAGAAGGATGCGACTACGGAGACCAAGAAGAAAAAGGGAACGAAAGAAGGTGGTGATGAAGAACCAGCTAAGAAGCCGCGCATGGTCAAGGCTACAGCAAATGCGAACTTCAAGAGGTTGAAGCTGAAGAATAACGGGGCAAAGGGAGGGCCAGCTCATAACAGCCGGTTCAGGAGGAGGAGGTAGTAGAGGGATGTTACCCATATGGAACGGTAAAGAGGGTGATGAAGAGATGAGCTATGATACTGCGTCCTACCTTCTTGGTGTCACTGAGCGTGAAGTGCATAGAACTAGACTATCCTTAATGGTAGAACATAACAACCTCAACATCCATTTCCGTGCCGTGAATACCCTGAGGTCTCAGTTGTTCATACTTAGGCTCCCTGTCCTTCATGGTGCATACAGTCCCATAGTAAGCTCCCACTCATCAATCAGCTACGGACATGTGTAAATATATGCAGACACTTTTCTTCATATATACTTATGTACATATACGTAATTTGATCAGATCAGTCACATCCTCAAAAACAAAAAAATCATGTACATCAGAAATAGTCCACCAACCAACCCCTCACTTCCCATCCATCCCCTCTCACCTCAACCGACCTCATCCTCACTCACCATCATGCCCAAGATTTCCCCTTACGAGCACTGCGAATAATAATCATTCTGCTTCTTGCAAGTATACGGGCTCGCACAAGTAGTGCACCCCGAGAATCCCACCCCACCGCACTGCGCCCACTGCGCAGCCGTGCAACCACCAGTAGGCTGAGGAGCAACGACGCTCGTCTTCAACGTCGTGCTCGTGCTGGTAATCACCGCCTTGCTGGTGGTGGTGGTGCTGCTAGCTGGCTTAGCAGTAGTAGTAGAACCACTACCACCACCACCAGCACCACCACCGTTTGCAGAACAAGTAAACTTGGCCGGGCCAGGGATGGTATAAGTGTTGCTCGGGCTCATAGAGTAGATGTTGACCAACAGACCGGGGTCAGTCGCCTTGTAGATGCCGGGGATCGAGTAGGTGGTGGAGGGGGCAGCGGTGCCGGTGCCGCCGACGATGTTGATTTGGGCGCATTCCATGTATAGTTGGGCGCCGGCGGTGGAGGAGGCGGCGTGCAGGGCGATCATCTCGGCGCGGAGGAGGTATTGGCCTGAGGGGATGCAGGCGGGGATGTCGCTGGTGTGCAACTGGGTTAGTTATTTGATTTGATTTGGGTGGTGAAAGGGAGGACTAAGGAGAACGTACATGTACTGGAAACCACCGTTGGTGATGACGGTGCTGGTACCCCATTGGCCGTTGTTGTAGCCGTCTTCTTGAATCTTGAACCTGTTTTTCTTGAGTGTCAGAATCTGGTTGAAATAGTACCCAAGTATTGAGTGAGTAGGGGGACCACTCACCATCCACCGCCGATACCAGTGTCAGTCAAGGCGTCGTCAACCTTCTTGAGGTAGGCAAGGGTAGGACCCTTGTGGCTGGCGTCCATGACATCGTCGGCGCCGGAAGTGAGAGTGTGTCTCCAGATAGCCTTGACGGTGCTGCCGGCGTTGACGGTGATGATCTTGTCAGAGGGAGTGGTGGGGTTGGGGCCGCCGTTGCAGGCAAGGTCGTTGGAGGTCACGTCGGTGATGGGACCATCGTAGGACGGGGTCCGGATTCCGTAGGAGACCGGGTAGGTGGTGCCGCCGGCTTCGAGCTGGACGAAGATGGTGTGGGCTGAGGCCGCGGAGGCGGCGACGAGGAGGGAGAGGACCTTCATCTTGTCTGGCTGGATGACACCGAACTACTGGAGTAAATAAACTCGAAGGGACCTACAGACTCGCAGATATCAATATCCAGGAGTAGGAAGCGCGTCGTCCATATATGTACTACTACATGGCGGGTCACCACTCTCACCAAGGCTGAGAAAGCATGAGGTTGAACATGTGGAAAGCTTATTAAAGGGTGGTCCTGATCGTTTCGGGACGTATAAGAAGCCACAATGTCACTGTCTAGGTCGCATTATCTCCTTTCGGGTCGTCTCTTCTAGAGCCAAAACCGGGACGCTGGAAGCAAGGCCGCCATGCGGCGCATAGCGAGGGCGGAAGAAGGCCGTCCGGGGTAGCAACACATCCGGATCGGGACAGCCACTCGACGTTTCAGCGTTGGATTCGCCGCGATATCGGATGTCAAGGTGCCGCGACGGATGGAGACGTAAGTCCATCCATACAGGATATTCAAGGCATGACGGGTTACATGGCATCTCGCTCCGGTGGCTCATGTTTGCGTCAGCATCCTAGGACATGATAGCGCAGGAGTTGCGGTTCATTTGAGCCGAAGCTTCTCTGCATCGTGTACATGACTATTGATCTACGTAGAAGGCTGAGATAGAAGAACTGAATATTGATTCGTTACTCCATATACAGTATCCTGGACAACAAGGGAGTAGGTGACCATAGAATGGTTCATGAACTGACGACGCTTCTAATCGATGGACTTGTTGTTGCAATATGGTAGTCCCGTCATTGTCGGTTATTTGGGTCCATGTCAATGTCTTGGATGATATTCTTGGAGTTGAAGACGGTGAGAATAAACAGTAAGCGTGTCGGCAATGGTCACGAAGGACCGTCGTGGTTCCCGGATCATGATCCGATGTTGTTTTGTTGTTGATTTGCACCACCGTAGAGGAACGGATAAAAGGGGGATCCGCCAGCTGCCGGCCAGACATGCTCCATCTGGCCTACCTGGCAGTTCCAGAATTCCACTGGATCCGCTGCCCGATGCGGGGTGCAGTAGCGCTTGCGGGGGAAGATGGGCCGAGCAGGCGAGGGTTAGGGTCTGTCCAACGTCCTCTGTTTATAGTTGTCTTGCCAAAACACCAAGTTGCCATCGTCGCCAAACATCACCACTTTGCGCAGAAGGGCGGCCCAACTCATGTTTACTGAACAGTATAGCTGCTCATGTCAGTTGGAAACACAGCTTCTACAATGCTCAGATACAGACGCCCCCGATGGGGCCATCAGTTTGGCTCTTCGCTGAACAAGGCTGGTGTTAGCTGACGGTCAAGGTTCTCCCCGTGGTTTGTTGTATCGTTGTCATGGTGATATCAACCGTCACTACCGCAAATCGATGGTCACCTCATGTAGACTTCCTAAGTCGCTTGATGGTCTAAAAGACCGCTCAAGTTGGCTCAGACTTCTCACCTTTTCTTCTTCTGCTTCCCCAAGTCAAAAGCTGGACCTAACCCAATCCGCTGACATACACTTTAACCATCCTGCATCAATAATCACACAAGCGCAGACTGTACTAGCAGAAACAGCAACCCACTTTGCATCAGGTAGGTCAAACTTGTCACCACTTCATCCTTTATCAAGGCATCTTCTCAGCATTGCCCATTTACTGACAGATTATCCTTCATAGAAACAGAACGACAGCACAATATCATCATGTCACACCTACATTTCCGCGAGGCCATGGCCTTGCCTTCTCGTATCGCCCAGTACCTTAAGAGACGCCAGTCCCGCAAAAGTGGCAAGATGTCTAAGAAGAAGCACCAAGACGCCGCCTACCAGATGGTTTCATCTACCAACCCCAATCCTCGAAAGCGTTCCAGTGAAGAAATCACCGATGCCACTCGCGATGTCTCTGTTGATCGCTTCCTCGATGCCGATGCGGCGCCTCCCCAAAAGCGCCCCAGATGGCCAGTTGTTGAAGGGCGCGACGAATTCCGTCCTTCTCGTCCTCGAAAGCGTTCAAGTGACAAGTTTGACGAGGCTTCCTCCGATGCATCCAGTGATCGCTTTGTTGATGCAGATGCTCCTCCCCCTCAAAAGCGTCCCAGATGGCCAGCTACCGAGGATAGTGGCGAATGCGAGTTCAATCCATTCAAGGAGAAGAAATCAAGATCAGGGGCACTTGCAGAAGAAATTGCGGATGCCACTGCGCTTGAAGACAGGGATCCATTTGACCATGAAGAATTAGCCTCCCATGTCCAGCGCTACAGATCACTCGCTGAGGAGCTTGCCGATGCTACCGCCCATGAAGACGGTGAAGCCTTCGATGATGAAGCTGATGAAGCTCCCTCTACCCCTCGCTTCAAGTCGCTCGCTGAAGAGCTTGCCGATGCACTTGCTAGCGAGAGTGGTGACGAATTTGTCGAATACGAAGAAACAAAGTCCCCCAAGCGCCGCTCACTTGCTGATGAGCTCGCTGATGCTACTGCCGATGAAGACGGCAACCCTTTTGAGGATGAGGAACGCGTAGGCATGACCATTGCTAAGGCTGGTGGGCTCTCATATGTCAAGGTACGTTGTCGCTTGCAAAACTCATGACATATAGTTTGTACTAACGATATTCCGTAGGCCACCATTGATCTTGGTCATCTTTCATTCGACCATAGCACCCCCACTTCTTTCAGGCCCCTTCGACCGCTTGCTGAAGATCTTACCGAGATCACTGCTAACGAGGACATCGAGCCCTTTGATGACCTAGACGAGCTGTCGTCCGGACTTCCTGAGCTTACTGATGACGATGACAGTAACTCCATTTTTGATGGAGGGTCTGTCGGAGACCACCAGAATGCACCAACTGAGGAAGAAAGTTTGTCACGCAATCACAAAGCCCTTGTTTCCCAACTTCGAGGAAGATCTCTCGCAGATGAACTCTTTGACGCAACCACTGAAGAAGAGGGCGACCCATTTGAAGAAGCAGATGCAGATCTCCACCTGCGCTTCCACTCACTAGAGGATCAGATTGCCGACGCCATGTCCCGCAATATTGGCCAAGGACTCGACGATGTTGACTCCGCCCCCCGAATGTGCCTAAACTCACCAGCCAAGAAGATGTTAGACTCGATCGCTAGCGAGGGTGAAGACATTTCCGACATTGAGTACGATGCCTCATTTATCACTGCTCTTGAGACACTCTCCGAGAACGACTTTCATATTGAAGATGATGATGCTCCTATCCAGGGGCGCCGCCGCTCACTGGCTGATGAGATTGCTGATGCAACTTTGGGCGAGGAAGGTGATCCATTTGACGTTGCAGAGGATTCACCCGCAGACGATACGACTTCCGAGCCATCAGCTGAGGTGCGCAAACGTCCGTTCTGGCTATGGGTAAGTACTTGGGTCTATTCCCAAATTTTCTGACAATAGTCTGCTTTTAACTCTCAGCTAACTAAAACAACACAGAGAAAATATCCTTCCACGTCCATGTTGCTCGGCGGCTGCCCGATGCAGTAATACATCGCTTCTCGCTTCTGAGTGGGTTACTCTGTTCCAATTACTGACCAAGTAATGTACAAGTAAAAGTTTCCTTCCTGTGGTTGCTTCTTCGATATTCATAACAACCGAGGTTAAGATCATCTTATCCAAACTCATTCTCGACATTGCTAGCACATGCCAACCATCCTTTCACGGTTCGAAGCCTTCAGCCCGTTTTGGGGTGTTTTTCCAAGATTGAACACATCACAATGACCGTGCGCGACCCTTTCGCAAGGTCTATCAATCTGCGTCCGATATTTGACGTGCTTGGTAGAATCGTCAAGTGTAGAGACGCCAATCATTTCAGAGATCAAGGAACGTGAACATCTTGGCTGGTAAAGGAGAAACTCTAACGAGAAAAAAATAGAAAAAAAAAAGAAAAAAATAAAGAAGTAGGAACGGAAGATCGCTTAAAAACATTCTGCTGCAAACCATTACGCAGACACTACCGCAATTTCAAGATATTTCAAGACCATGTGCCAGAAAGATGCGACGAGCAACACTATCCTTACATGTCGGCGTCACCATGGGAGTATATCTTCTGCCACTTTTCATATCGGACGGCAGGAAGATGAGATGAGACAACAACAAGAAGCGGGAAAGAAGACTGATCACAGATATCCATCCCTGTCTTTCTCGCCGTGGGGAATCTACCTGCTTACTCTGTAGTGTACGTAGTCTAATTGTGTGAAACCATTTCCCCGGATTCCATTGACGAATCGGACATTGCCTTGAAAACGGTTTAAGCTCTATGGTATCGTGTGCCACTCAGCCCGTTGGGTCATCCGACATGGCTCGAGCTGTTTGGGTGCCAAGGTTCGTATAACTGGACGAGAGCAAGCCAAGTCTAGACTTCCAAGCCTTCATTACCCCATATTCTTCGGGAATTTGTACAGAAACGGTAAAGGATGCCACACAAGACCAAGCCGCATTCCTACACTATTTGCCGCTTCAACGTGCTCTCTCTCTCTCTCCCTTGTCCGTCCGTCTGTCCCTTGTCAGACTGCTTGGGCGGGGCCTATCAAAATCCGGGGAAGTGGGTTTACACTAGAGGTGGTCAAGATCCATCCCGATTGTAGGTAGTGTACATAGCTGCTGTCACACATCCTCCGCGGCGGCACGGATCAAACTAACTTAACCGAGTTAAGCTTCGCTTTACCCCAACCTGCTGGGGGCAAAATCTGGGGTAAGTAGGTAGCTTCGGCACTTCACACCGTCCGTCACCTCCCCGCCCCTCTTTTGCAGTCCTACGTCTACTCTGTCACTGTTAGTAACCTACCTATGTGTAAGCTCTCAAAGCTTCAAAAGTCGTGTTTTCACCCTGCTGTTCATTCATCTTCCCGCAAACCTAGATAGGACAACAACCCCTCAAAGAGAAGGAAAAAACAATCGACTGACGAAAAGCTTCAAGCTCCTTTTATAAAGTGTACCAGATTGCAGCCAGCCAGCGCTGGGATCAAAGCCCCCCCGATGCAACCTTTTTCGAAATCGACCTGGTCGGGTCGAATCCGCCAGTGTGGTTGTGACGTGTGGGCTGGAGGTATCCATCCGCCCGCCTCCTTGGACACTTTTGCGTGCGTGCGGGGGAAGAAAGTCTTGGCTTCCAGACGTCCAACACAACAAAGAGGGGCGGGATCTTCGAGGACGGGTCTGGATTTCCAGGCAGGAGTGACTACTGAAGACCTAGCTGAGCTTGTAAGTTGTTGGATGGGCAAGCAGGAAGACAAGGAACAAGGAACAAGGAAGCAGACAAGAGTGAGGAGGGGGGAATCCTAGGAGAATGCCATATTGGAGATACCTAGCGAATTGACATGGAATATAAGCCAAGCAAAGATGGCGCTGAAGGAAGGCAAGTGGGAAACCTCGGTCTGGGTACACTAGTCGATGATGGTGGTGGTGTGGTGATTTGTCTGTTTTTGTCTGTTGAGAGGGGAGTTGTGTAGTGGGAAAGAAAGGGATGGAGGTCGTGGTGAAGGAGGAGGAGAAATGATAAATAGGAACGATGAGGGCCTTTTCTGAAGGTGAATTTTTTCGAAGTTGATATCGGGGTCCTTTTGGGAGCTTTTGAGGAAACACACGATAAGGAATCTCAAGTTGTACTTGACCTACCAGCTCGTCATTGTGTACTCAGACGAATACCTCTGCTTTTCTATTGTTTTCAAAGTCTTTATCTCGCCTCCTTTTCACCTCCCCCCACCCACCCACCAGATTGCCTTCTCCAACCTAACGGTTCGGTACATCTCCCGGCAGCTCTCCCCGCATTGCAACCTACCTGCTGACTCCTTCCAAGTTTGGATCAGATCGGTTCTGCATACATAGCTATCTCAGACATTGATTTCCCCTCTCTGGTTCACTCGATCTTTATCTATCTCATCTTGTATCATCGGGTCCCCTCCGTCCCATCTTATACCTCCCTTTATACCTACCTGCTTTATCCCATCTCTGGTCTCTTCCTCTTTGGTCCTTGATTTTCGAGTGTCTTTCCTCCTCTATCACCTTACCACTTCTACCGAGGATCTTACACACACCACCAACATGGCCACCAACACCTATCCGCCAGGTAGTATGGACACCGGGGGTCTGGACATCGAATCCAAAGCCTCGGCCTACCACTCCGAAAAGGCCCCCTCAGCCTCCACCTCCTCCTCCCCCAACCCGGACGTGGCGGCGGCCGCCGTCATCACCAGCGGCACCAGCAGCACGGACTTTAACCTGTCGCCCGCCGAGGAGAAGCGCATCAAGCGACACATTGACCGGCGGCTGGTCATGACCATCGGCGCCATGTACTGCGTATCGTTGATGGACCGCACCAACCTGGGCGCGGCCAACATTGCCGGCATGGGCAAGGAGCTGAAGCTGATTGATAACCGGTACTCGATCGTGTCGCTGGTGTTCTTTGTGACGTATGTCCTGTTTCAGCCGCCGAGTACGGTGATTTGCCGCAAGATTGGGCCGAGGATTCACATGAGTGTGTTGACGCTGTTATGGGGGAGCGTCATGATTGGGATGGGGTTCGTCAAGAGTTGGGAGCAGTTGGCGGCTTTGAGGGTGGTGTTGGGTGTTTTGGAGGCTGGTGAGTTTCTCCTTTCTTTCATATGCTTGACAGAGGTATCGAAGGCTCAGTTACTAAACCTTCGAAAAACAGGTTTCTTCCCCTCCTGCGTCTACCTCCTTTCCACCTGGTACACGCGCTACGAAGTCGGCAAGCGCAACTCGGTCTTCTACCTAACCGGCTGCGTCGCCTCCGCCTTCGCCGGCATTCTCGCCTACGGCCTGATGCAGATGGGCGGGCTCGCCAACCTCACCGGCTGGCGCTGGATCTTCATCATCGAGGGCGTGCTGACCTGTCTGTTGGGAATCGCCGGCTACTGGCTACTAGTCGACTTCCCCGACTCCCCTCGCAAGACCTGGTCCTTCCTCTCGGCTCGGGACCGCGAGTGGGTGTGCGCGCGCGTGCAGGCGGACCGCGGCGACGTGGTGCCCCAAAAGTTCCTCATCAGCAAGTACCTGTCGTCCGGTCGGGACTGGAAGGTGTGGGCGTACGCCATGATCTTCTTCAACACCACCACCATCAGCTACGCCCTCTCCTTCTTCCTGCCCATGATCCTCAACACGGGCATGGGCTTCAACATTGCGCAGTCGCAGTGTCTGGTCGCTCCTCCTTATGCTTTCGCCGGCTTCATCATGTTTGCTGGCGCCTACGTCGGCGATCGCTTCCGCATCCGCGGCCCCATTGTGGCTTTCAACGCGCTGATCGCCGTCATCGGCGTCCCTATAATGGGCTTCGCTGCCAGCGCCAAGGTCCGCTACTTCGGTGTGTTCCTGGTCACTGCCGGCGCCAACTCGAACGTGCCGGCGGCGATGAGCTACCAGGCCAACAACATCCGCGGACAGTGGAAGAGGGCGTTCTGCAGCGCCACGTTTGTGTCGTTTGGTGGCATCGGCGGTATCGCTGGTAGCTTGGTCTTTCGGGAGCAGGATAAGCTCACGGGCTACAAGCCGGGTTTGTATGCGTGCATTGCGACCAGTCTGTTGACTCTGGTGCTTGTCGCGTGCTTGACTGTCTCTTTCTGGAGGGAGAATAAGAAGGCGGAGAGGGGTGAGAAGGAATTGGAGGCTGAGGATGTGAGTGTTTCTTTTCTTATCTGTTCTTTACCCTCCTCTTATTGTCGGTTGTTGAAATTGTCGACTAACTTTTTTTCTTTCTTTTTCTACAGGACGATGCCCAGCCTGGATTCCGCTACACCTATTAACTTCTGTGTTTTCTATATTTAATGTTAGTAATGATATGACTTGGTTGATGAAACCAGCTGGGTTGGCTCAGAGATGATCATGGGTTTGGAGTTTGGGGAATGCGGTGTTGTTTTATGATCGGAATGAGGTAGTCGTGGGTGAGGGTATCTTGTTTGTAATCCAAAGCGATGCACTCGACGCTACCAAGCGGTTATTCCCCCTTTATCAAGGGGGGGCCTGTACACAAGTTTAGTACATAACATCAAGACTTTTGGGTGTACCTACTACTCCGTGACTCGTCCGAATGGATTTATGAAGATGAAAAGTCACATGCCTTCAAGACAATTCATACCCGTTCACTTTCTTCTACATCCTTCCTTAATCACGTCCTGATACATCTACCGTCTTCCCAAATCCCTCCTAACCCTCCACACCTTACTCCCCGCCGCCCGTCCCTGACTCCCATGCAACATCTCGACCCACGGCTGCGCCTCCGACGTTCCACCATGCAACGCCTGAACCCTTTCCCACTCCGGCCTCTCCTCAACCTCATCCGCTCCAACTGATTCCGTCTCGTCACTCTGGTCCCCATCCCCAGTACCATCGTCATCATCATCAATCTCCATCTTCGCACCACCACCAAGCACCAAACCCTGCTGTTTGTTTCTAGCAGCAGCAGCATTGTTCTTCTCCCACTGCCTCCTGTGCAAATCCTCCGCATACGCCCACGAAGGGGTATCGAACCTACCCGCCACCAGCACCAGATCCTGCTCATTTCCTGCTATCATCTCCACAGGCAAAGGCGTCAAAAGCTGCAACTCCCCCTTCTTGACATCGATCCCTCTGACCAGCACCAACCCCAGCACGCGCGAGTGGGCGGGGGAAAGCGTTTTGCCTTGGGGGTTGGGGAGGTGGGGGAGGGATTCACGGGGGGTCTTGCAGATTAATAACTCTGGTTGTTGTTGTTTTTGGGACGAGGACTGCTTCTTGAATTGCTGTACAGACTGTTGTTGCTGCTGCTCCTGCGGGGAAGACACGACGAGAAGGTCGGGAAAGTCCCTAAAAGCACCAGCGCGGTCTTCAATTTTCACCAAGGCAAGTATCATGCCGTTGATGGCTTCGGCCAACAAGTCCGGCGCGGGCTGGTGGTCGTAGCAGAGGATTCCCAGGAAACCAGGGCGAGGGCCGCGATAGCGGACACGCCAGGGAGGAAGGTGGGTGAGAGGTGTGGCGGACCAGGTTGGGCCGGGATGGGGTTGGCTTTGGTTTTGGCTTTGGCCGTGGGGGACAGGAACAGTGAGGGAGGAGAAGAGCAGGTGAAAGTAGGACATTGTTTGCATTGTACGGAGATGAAGGGCTGTTCTTGAGCTTCCTCCTCCCCCCGAAGTTGATGGGGTCGTGGCATCGACTGACGAGGATGGCTGACCTTGGGGCTGTTGACTGGGGAGAGCAACGAAGGGGATTTTCTTTTCCTGACAGGCGGCTTTGAGACCGTCAACGGTCTCCTCAGGTCCGTCTTGGGACATGTAGATCACTTCTGTTGGGACTGTCTGGCGGATTAGCTCAGATAGGATGTCGAGCCCGGTTCCTTGGATCCAGCCCGGGGTGTTGATGATGAGTGGGAGTTTGTTCAGCGAGGGGTTGGTCTTGTAAGTGTGGAAGAGATCGAGGGCACAGGCAACAAAGTGGTCTGGGTCTAAGCTGGGCGTGACGGAGGCAACAGTGTGGGCGCGTAGTTGAGCCGTTCTTGGGTCCAAAGCGGGATGGCCAAAGGGAGGAGAGAGGTTTGGGCTTGATAGCTTGTTGAGGGATATGACGGAGGGAGGTCCAAATTCGGGCTGACCTGGGTCGAGATCGAGGACGACTACTGGAGCCCAGGGCTGTCGTGAGAGTCCAGAGCCAGTTATCAGACGGTTGGCCATTAGCCGCCCGAACGTGGACTTTCCGGATGATTTGGGGCCGGTTAGGAAGACAACAGGCGTAGCCTTTCTCTTGGAGTCTAGGACGTCCGCTAGTTGCTTGTTCCATTCAGCAGGGGAGACCAATTCCTGAACGCCGCCTCTCCTAGGGGCATCGTCCGAGGTGAAGATGATCTGGAAGGTAGGGACAACCTTTTTGGCCTGACCCGCCGCAACATCATCCGACTCATTCCATAGCTTCCCAAATGCCGGGTTCAGGCTAGCGAGCTGTCTCAAGCTCCGAGCTCCTGGGTGTGGATGCAACTCGATTGTGGCATCGCTCGTAATGCGGATGACGGGAAGAGCATGGCATTGGGGAGCATGAACCCAGTGGACGAGGTCCGATTCTGACAAGAAGGCTCCAGCAACGGTAAGCTCGCCATCGCGTACCTTGATACCATAGCTCCCAAGAATGACCAAACGTTCTCCATCGAGGAGCTTGAGAAGCATACGGCCATTGGCCTTTGATTGGATGTTGGTCTGGCTCAACCTTTGAGATGAATAGTATATGACCCTCCTCCGACCTGTTGGGATTGGTTCTGAGAGATTTGGGAACTGGGATTTCAGCTGACGGCCTTCATCTCTTCCTTCGGCTGGTACTTCGTCCTTGGGACCCTGCTTCCGCTTTCTGGGGCGCGCTGCTGGTGTTTCGTCCACATGATGGGAAGGCTCCTGTTTCTGAGCCTGTAGTGCCTTTCTGAAATTATCCCTCGTGAAGAAGGACTTGGCGGATGTGTTGCGGTCAATGATATCTCCATTGTTGTTGTTGTTGTTGTCGTCGTCGTCAACATTAGGAGTAGTGGCGGCAGCACTGGCAGCGGCAGCTAACAGCTTTTGTCGAGCAGCAAATGCACTCATTTTTTTGTGTGTGTTGTTGGTTGACTGCTTTGGACATTAGCAAAGTAGACATGGACCTCGACATTGGAAGTGGTACCTTACACAAAAATCACCGGTAGTGTTCAGGTTGTTGGACTCGCGGTGACTGCCCAGTAGTGGTGGTCTTTGGTTGTCATTTCTTCAGTTGAATTGAAAAAAGGTTGGGGAAGATGGTGATTTTCCAGCGAGCGACGTACTACAGCACAAGGTTGAGGTGTGGATGTATGCAGACTATTCAGATAATAAAAACCCCCAAAACATCAAATAACGTGTTTTCAGGAAAATCATATCACAGATTCTTGGAATTCCTCAAGTAAAATTTCCACGACTTGGTTGTCTGATGGTGGTGAAGTCAGAGCGATGATGTTCTGAAGAAAGGCGAACACAGGCATCATTTAGGTGTACACTAATTCCCATCCTCATCATAGGCAACCCTTACCCTGACACCATCAAAGTCAACCCTATCGAAGCTGTGATGCCCCACATTCCGTTCCCATACAAGTAATCAACCAATCAAGCTTCTCAATCTCCTAATTTTTTCTGGCTTTGGTCGGCAACCTCGAGCGACCCTTGATTTCAGTTCGCAGCTCTCCACTCCACTCCCAATCCCGCTCGCGCATCTGATATTCCAGCGTGTTTTGTACGCGACGAGCATCATTCCGCCTGCCTCCCGCAGTTTCTGTCTTCTGCGTGAGGATCAACAAATAGACGACAGAGGGCAGAAGAGGAACAGCGCATCGTTTCTGCATCGGCAGCAAAAAAGCACTTCAAAAAGCACTTCAACACACTGTAAATCCCGACCCCACATCCAGACTTTTTAGCACTCTTCAACTGCACCAAACTGCACCATCCATCCCTGCACATCGTAGCACTCAATTGTTCGAGACAGCGCCTTTCCGTCTTGGACACTCACTCCACATAATTTTTCTTCCATCACCACCTTAATTCTTTTCCCTTTCTTTACAGTCCAGATAAGCCGCCCCCCATGGCTGGTCCTCGCGCACCCATCGGAACCCTTTCCCAGCACGCCGCCAACGCCGCTGCCCTTGCCCGCAACACCTCCACCAACGTCTTTTCCCAGCAAAAATCACAACTCAAGTCCAAAAAGGGCAAGCAAGAAGAGAGCGACAGCGATTCAGACAGCTCCTCCAGCAGTGACGACAGCGGTAGCGACAGCGATTCCGAAACAAAGCCCGAACCCACCGCCGACTGGGCCAGCAATCTGAAGAAGACGAACATGGCGCAAACAAAAGCCACCAAGGCCGCCGCCTCGCCTGCCCCTAAAAAGGCCAAGGTAGAACCCGTCAAGGCCAAGCCAGTAGCCACCAAGAAGGAGGAGTCCGAGTCCTCGTCCGAATCCGAGTCCGAGTCCGAGTCTGAATCGGAGGTCGAGGACAAGAAGAAGCCTGTCAAGAAGGCGGAAGAAAAGAAGCCAGCGGCGCCAGCGGTGAAGAAGGCAGCCAAGAAGGACGAGAGCAGCAGCGAGTCTAGCAGCGAAGAAGAGAGTGGAAGTGGGTCGGACGAAAGCAGCAGCGACGAGGAGGAAGAGACCAAGCCTGCGCCCAAGGCTACACCAAAGACTGCGCCCGCAAAGACCAAGCAGCAGACTGCCAAGCAACCCACACCCTCCTCATCAGAGGATTCAGAGGAAGGAACAAGCTCAGAGAGCGAGAGCGATGAGGAGCCGGCACCAAAAGCCAACACTAGCGCCAAACTTGCAAAGCCCGCCAGCAAGACCCCCGAGGCCAAGCCAGTGGTCAATGGTACCTCAAAGTCCAACGAGACCGTGAGCAAGTCCGACGACGAGTCATCGTCTGAGGAAGAGGAGGAGGAGTCAGGTTCCGAGGAAGAGTCGTCTTCCGACGAGGAGATGGCCGATGCTCCCCAGCCCAAGGCGGCCCCTAAAAAGACTTCGGGGTATGTGTTCCCGCGCGAATTGTACCAAACAACGTATACAATACTAACAGACATCACAGTCCTCAACTGCCCCAGGTGATCGCACCAAACTTCCACATGCGCAAGGCCGATGCCAACGCCGACGCCAAGGACGTCGCACGAACATTTCAAAAGGCCCAAAGCGAGGGCAAGCAAATCTGGTACTTCACCGCCCCGGCCTCGATCCCCATCGAAGTGATCCAGGAGCACGCGCTCCCTCTCAGCAAGATCCAGTCCGGCGAGCCCATCATCACCCACAACGGCGCCGAGTATAACGCCACCCTGGAAGAGGGCACCACCCTCCACTCCATCCAGGTCCTCCTCCCCACCGAGTCCGGCGACAAGTACGAGCTCATGAAGCAGCCCATCGCCCAGGCGCTGCACATCAAGCGCGTTACCCGCCTCAACCCCGCGGCCGCCGCCACCGCTGCCGTCTCCGCTCCCGCTACTGGCAATGCCCCTCGCCCTCAGCCCGCGGGTCTCAAGGCGCGATTCCACCCCATTGGCGCCTCCGCGGCTGTTCCCATGGGCAAGATCGGCGCTGATGCCGTCGGTGAAGCTGCTGATTCCGACGTCGACATGGCTGAGGCTGCCCCTGCTAAATCGTCCAAGAAGCGCAAGAACGAGACTGTTTCCGAGGACGCTCCCACCAAGAAGACAAAGAAGACTAAGGAACCCAAGGAGACCAAGACTTCCTCCAAGAAGGCCAAGTCTGAGACGCCTATTGCTCCCCCCGCTGTTCCCGCTGCTGCTGCGGCCAAGAAGACGTCCGTTACTCCCAAGAAGATCACGCCCATTCTGCCTCCTTCTATTCCCCAGTCGAAGAGCTCTTAGAGAGTAGCTTCTTCGAATCGAGTCTAGTCTAGTCTAGCCCGTCCGTCGATGACGACGAAAACTGCGCAGTGGGCGGAAGACAATGTGACTGCACCTGGGCTGGTGTCCATCTCCCCCCAGTTTTCCCCATTCGCTATACGTGGTGCTGCGAGTCTGTCTTCTTCTCTCACCGCGCCCGCTATTATTTGAGCGCTCAAGGTGGAAAGAAGGGACGATGATAGCGCGGGGATACAAATTGCCCGGTGTCCTGGAGCGTAGCAGCAGCAGCACTTACCACCCAGGCAGGAATGTATCGACAGAGCGATAAGGTCAAGGGGGGTGGATGCAGGAATGGTAGATGTAGATGTGATGGACGCCATGTCATGCTGTTCGAGTCATGTGTATGTACATACCAGCATTAACCATCCGGGAAAGTTGTTGTTGTTTGTTGTATGTTTGCGATTTGTCAAGCCATATATTGGAAGAAGAAGGATTAAAGAAAGAAGAGATGGGGTCTAGGGGGCCAGAACAGAAGGGGGCGTTCAAAATTATCATCTGTACAAGTTCACACAAAGGTCATACATATAGAGAGGTCATGTCATGTCATGGATGTCAATATCAACTTTGTGTTGTACCTGTTCAAACATGACTATAACAATTCGCTGGGGAAAAAGTTCGGGGAGGAAAACAAAAAACAGATGAACGTGTACATATGCATGCATGCATGCTATGGTGTACCTACCTATGGTTTTCCGTCGTTCAAGGCATATATATATATATTTACGCAGTATGTAAATGCTAGAGTTTTTCTTGTGCTGCATCTTCCGTTGTGCACATCGATGGTTTCTTGCATGGTCTGGTTCAGTTCGGCACAGGTACCCGGTAATACTATGTCGGGGTAGGTATTGTGCCTTGAATTCCTCAGAATGTAAATACCTAGAGGTATATAGGGAGATGGACTTGGCTTTAGGTGCGTAGAGGTAAGTACTATTACCGAACTTAACCTACAGGTTCTTTTCAGGGATAAGATACACAGATATCATCATAGTCAAGGTGACTGTTCCTTCACCATCCTCATCATCATCATCATCACCCAAGCAAGCAAAGTCAATATGTAACATGCATGTCTTTCACGTCCATAAACCCCCCTCTCTCTCTCTCTCTTGCTCTTTCGATCTTTCGTTCTTTCGAATCCAACCCCCGCTTGCTTCAACTACCTAGGTACACTACACCCACAAAGTTCGCAAGGTACGTTACGTTACGTATGGACGTACGTACGTTAACTATCCAACCCTTACTTATCAACGCTAAATCCGATGCCAACTCCAATCCAACTCGATACTGAGGCCAAAAAAGTCAGGTACTTTCCAACTCCCCATTTCCTTCCGTTATTCCAAAAAAGAAACAAAAAAAACACCACCATATATGCCTACGTCGGCCGTCTAAAAGGATGAGCCTCGGTATTAAACACATACTCATCCAAGCTCACCACATCCGGCTCGGCAAACAGCAAGTAGAAATACTTGAGCGTTTCCGCCAACCAGAAACTCTCCATGCTATCTGTGAAACTTGGTTTCGTTTGCTTTCTATCGTCATCTTTATCTTTATCTTTGGTAGAGGTAGAGGTAGAGGCAATGGCAACGTTATCAATAGCGCTGTGAGCAATGTCGGTGCGCGTGGCGGCAATGACGGACTCAAACATGCGCCAGCCTTTGTCTTGCCAGATGGGCGAGCCGGTGATGCGGTAGTAGTAGAAGACGGATTCGATTGCTTCGGGGCTGTTATTTGTTAGCGAAAGGGGGTCGGTTACTGATATGGTTTGGAAAAAAGGGAGTGCTAAAAGGGCAAGATGTGCACCAATAAAAGGGGGCGCCATACCGAAGGATATACCGCTTATCATTCAACGACACGAACCCCGGCGGGATATTCTCCCTCTTGATCCTGTCCTCGACATACTCCTCATGGCTGAGCGGCTTCTCTGGCTCCGGCGGCAGGAGGAGTTCGGACATGGGCTTTTGCTGCTGGTCTTGCTGCGCATGGCCAGCGATGTTGTTCAGATCGAGCTCATCTTCGAGCTTATTGACTTTGGCGGCTACCTCGATCTTGTCATCTTCAGAAAGCCTCCTCTTGGTCAAGTGGTAATCGACATCCTGCTGCATGCCCTGATGAACACCGGGGTTTAGTCCCGATTGGTGGGTATTCTTGGGCTTAGCTTCCTGCTCACTTCTCGCCTTAGCCGCCGCCTCCTCAGCCTCTGCATACTCCTTCTTGAGCATCTTCACCTCCTGCACCCACTCCGCATGGTTAACCTCCCACTTCTTCAGCTGCTCGTCTCTCCACTCCGCCTCCGTATCAATGGCATTATACCAAGCCGTCTGGTTCCACTGGCAATCATCCGCCTTGGCGCACGGCAGGACCATCGAATACTCGGGCATGATGCCCGTCGGCATGACCTCGTACGCCCACGCACACCCGGCAGCAAGCTTTTTGCCAATCTCCACGTCCTCGGGGCTCCCAAAGATCTTGCCACCCAAGCCGTACATGCCCCCCAAAAAACAGGTCAGGTGCGTGGCCTCCCACTCGTAATTGAGCTTCTGGTCCGTGTGGTCATAGCTGGTCACCTTGGCCGAAAACAAAATATCGGGGTTTCCGGGTGCCATGGGCCGGAAGAGGAGGTACTTCTTTACAGCGGCCGACACCTTTTCGTGCATGGTGCGGTACTTGTCCTCGAGCCCGCCTAGCAACAAATACTGCTTGGGGAAGTATTCGTATGCCGAGTCTTGGCTGCCGCCCATGCTGTAGGACTCGGAGCCCCAGCCGCCTGCTACCAGGCCTTGGGGCACGCAATCCCAATTTGCGGGCATTCCTTGCGCGTCGCGCGGTGGGCCTTGGTTTTTGGCTCCCTTCCAAGGGGGTGGTTGGTGTCCGGGGACTGAAGAACGGGGCGGGGGAGTTCGTCGGTTGAGTTCTCGCTTCGTGACGCCATTCAAATCCAGAGGGTCCTTGCCATTTTGGATGTCTTGGGCTGTCATCCCGGCGGTGTAGCCCTGTGGCTCCTCATTGAGGTCTGTGGCATCGTCAACCTGCTGCTTTCCAGCATCGCTGAGGTTATCATAGTTGGTAGCAGCCTGAGCGGTGCGGTTGCAGCCAGAAGCGTCAATGTTCTCTGGGAAAATTCCAGGTAGAGCAGTTCCGTCCTCTCGGTTCTGCAGATCCTCCAAGGCGTTCGTGATACGGGCAACAGCGTCATAATACTTGTTCTCGCCCGTCAGCTGAGCTAGGCGAGTGAACTCCATGCTCAAGGTACCCAGCTCGGCCATACCGGAGCGGGTAGATGCTCGCTTGGGATTCTCGTTGAAAGACGGGCGCCAACTGTAGTACAGAATCGGCATGCGGTTGGGGGTGTCGAAGACGCTCATGAGCACCTCGGCGAGCTCGACGGCCTTGTCCAGGAGGATTTTGTACGCGGCCTTTGTCTTTTCACCACCGGATACGTCGTATGCGCCCAGAAAACCACCAAGGTAACGAATAGTGGTCTCAAACACGGGAATCTCGGAGCGGTGCGCAGAGTAGGTGAAATCAAGCTCCTTGACATAGTCGACGGCTTCATCGAATTCCTCCTTCAGCCCCATGATCCAAAGCGTATCCAGCGCATCGACAAGCGTGGCGGCCCAGCCGCAAAAGGGGTCTTTAGATATTCTGGTAACGGGCGTAAGCTCGTCATGGCCCCAGGCATACTTCTTGTAACCGGACCAAGCGCGTTGCGCCTCCGCCCGGACCTTGTTCAGACGAGCCACGCGCTTCTCCTTGGCCTCGGGAGATTCTTCACCAAAGTTGAATTGGACCGTGGGAATGGGTTTGGGTTTCCCGGTGGGCAGCTTGATGATGGATTCTTTAGGAACAGGGAACCATTCACTCGGCTTCTGCCAGTGTTCCTTTGTCGATGTAGGCTCAACGTTTTCGATGTCCGCGATAGGCTTTCCACCGTCATTCGTTCCTGGTACGGGTCGATCGGGCAGCTTCACGGCAACATGCGACTCCTCGGCGGCACTGTGGTCATGCGCCTTTCCGACTGTAGGGGCGGGAGTGGGCAGGCCAAAGCCGCCAGGTACCTCGTTACTGGTCTTGAGCTGGGGAATCCTGATACCGGTCTCTTTCTTGGGCGTAGGTTGCGCGCTAGTTGTAGTCTGCTTCTCGTGCGCTATCGACGTAGGTTTCGGCGGTTGTGGCGGTTGGTATTCAACATTGAGTCTGTCTTTGGCAGCCGAGTCTGCTGGCGCCTTCTTTGGAGAGTACAAAGCGGACTGTGAGAGCTCCCAGTCCGAGTTCTGGGAGACATGGTATAGCAGCACAAGAATGATGAATGCGCCTATGAGAAATGGACGGTATCTTCGTATGCGTAGAGGTAGCATGGTAGCGACGAATGGCCGCCGAAGAAGCGGAAGATGGGCGTGGCCAGTCTCACAAGCAGGGCAGAGTCGAGAAGGACCGTCGGTCGACTAGGGACAAAAAGGGGACGTAGTCGCAGAACGTGCCCTGAGAGAGCTTAGGTATGGTTTTGGATCCCCAAGTGTCGCGTGTTTACAGGAATCGGTAGGTAGTTCGGAAGCTACCTGGAGGTATTAGGGAGGGAGGACGAGTGCTTCAAAACAACCGATATCTAACGGTATGGCATGGCTGATCAGGAGGGGGTTCGCTCGTCTAGGGTAGATATCCAACAATGCCGAGAAGGGTGTTGTTAGGTTGGACTTCAGTAGTATGTAACCTACATGGATAGTGGTAGGTACCTCTCTAGGTATGTATGTATGTATACGGCAACTATCTCTAGAAACCGATGAAGAAGGACTTGGCCGTCCAACGTGTCGTCCCAATCGAGGGAAGCTGTAACCGAGTGTCTCTTGGAAGACAGTCCGTCTGCTTCTGGTAGACCACCACAACCCAAGGTGGTTGGTGTACAGTAATGAAAAGAGTGAAGAGTCCGAGGTCGTCGTCGGTTCGCAAAAAGGAGTGTGTCAGGTGTCAAGATCAGAACTGAAGGAACGAAGCAGAGAATACGGAAAACAGGAAACGAAGAAGGAACGCCTCCTCTCCTCTCCTCTCCTCTCCTCTCCAGGTCCCCCCTCCCACTTTCCCCCTTCCTCAGATGCCCATTAATGGCTTGGCTGACGGCGGCGGCGGCGGCCCCTCCCTCCCCCCTTGGATCGTCAAGTCCATCGTTCAGTGGATTCCACTTGCAGTGTGGATTTGCCCCGGAGACGAGCTCAGGGCCGCGAAAAGCCATGTGCCGTTTGCCAAGGCAATTGGCTTCCCTATTGGTCATGACTTACATGCCAAGCTGCCAAGATCGACCCTCCCCCTCCACCTTTTTCTGTAGGTAAAAGTCCCCTGGCGGCTTGGCGCTGTCTCGATCCCAGGGTGATCTTCCGAGGGAAACCTCTACCGAAACAAGGGGACACAACAAGAGGTGTGACAAGTGTGGAAGTTGGCGGTGGACTCTGCTCTGTCTACAGTACCCGCTATGTATGGTAGACCTAGAACCGCGGCGTGATTAATTGGGAAATATCCAGAGTTTGAACTAAGATATTACTAGAAGAGCCTCAAAGCTAGGTAAGTAGGTACCTTTTATCTTTTCAAGTTCAATCACATACATATGTATTATCAGCCATGCGAGCGACTACCATACATTTGCATCACCAATACATACCGAAAATAGCAACAACGGATATCTAATGCCGAGCAAGTTCTTCCAACCGACAGACAGCTCCTCCATTTATCGCCATCCATCCCATCTACGAGCTGCATACCTATCTACACTATACTCATCTCATCCCATGTCTTACAAAGTATTATTCAGACGAACGGCTTAATAGTTAAATTAGATCGGATGAGATTCCGAGCTATCAGATCAAATCAAATCAAATCAAATCAAATCAGAAACATTTGGGGAAAAGGCAACAACGACACAACTGAGCTGACCCATTAATCACCTTTTTACCGACGACAGACAACGAATCAACAAGTATGTTGATGTATGTACTTGGGTGCTAAACATGAATAACTACCCATTACACACACATATATATATTCTTACAAGGGCCCAAAAATAAGGGACGAGAAAAGAAGGGAAAAATCCCGAACACAGGACAAGCAGGGGTACATCACAACTTGGAATCTTGACACTACCTGTACAGCGAAAGATTCACACAATTTTAACACCTCAACCCATAAAGTCAGATTTGCTCTTTCACTAACTCTTCGCAGTTAATCCAATATCTAGTATAGCAAAGATAGTGCTGTGAATTGTACCTCCAGACAGACAGGTCATGTTTCTACCTACGCCAAATCTCTTCGATTGCTTCACCATAGAGATACCGTACTATAATCTCTAAAGTGAGAACCAGCTCACACTCCCTCTCTCTCTACGCCCGTCTCACACAGACACACGTACACACACTCGCAAACACACAGTTCCGACCACAGAGAGATGCGCGCTGGAAAAGATTGACTCGTTTGCCTTCCGACATCGAACGATCCGAACCTTGGGGACAGCCCCCATCCCCACTCCCCCCTTTAAATACCTATGGTAAACCCTGACTGACACCACACCCCGACCGACCGATCGTATCCGTCCCATTACCCCTATTATTTTAATTTTTTTCTTTCTCTTCTCCGGCCTTTTGTTGGAGATCCACTTCATTATTTACTTGTAGTGTACTGCTCCGATTTCCCCCAAGTCTTCCTGCGCAAGTTTTCCTCTTCATAAGTAGGGTAGGGTGATAGGCTAGCTCAACTCCACCCAGTAGTTCTCTTCTCGCCTCCTCTTGTCCGTAGTAACGTGGTGAAAGCACAAGTAGATATCTTCAAGTGTGTTTGGTTTTTGTTTGTGCACACCACAGGGGTTGTCGGCGGTATGTATCCTCCTGTAGACTAAAGCCCGCTGCCCGCTAGCATAGAAAGATATATAAATGTGTATAATGACGTCGTTCCCCAGTTCAATTAATAAGTACCCCTAATCTTAGCATACAGCTCCGTATCCATAAAGCTGTAGTTAGGATCCAGCTCGCAAAAGGGGTGTTGGGAGAGAAGGACGTCGGCGGTAGGGCGATCAGTCGGGTCGCTGTTTTATAGTAGTTAGTATAAACGGTCATCATCACCAACAAGGAGAGAAACACTTACACAGTAAAGCAATCCAACATAAAAGCAATCGCAATCGGCGTGATCTCCTCCCGGATATCATCCGGAATCGGCGGCGCCTCGCCATTCGCAATCTTGTAGATCGCCCCAACCGCCTCATCCTTGCTCCATGGCCTTCTGCCCGCAAACATCTCCAGCACCACACAGCCCAACGACCAAATATCCACCTTGGCCGAGTATCCTTCGCCCTGCGACCGGATCACCTCGGGCGCCATCCAGAACACGGACCCCTGCATCGAGTTGGTCTTGTCATTACCGTAGATGTTGTCCGTCTTCTTGGAGATGCCAAAATCGGAAATTTTGCACGTGCCATCCAGATCCAGTAAGATATTGTCCGCCTTGAGGTCCCGATGCAAGATCCCTTCGCGGTGCAGATACGCCAGACCGGAAAGCGTCTGGCGCGTTAAAGACGCAACCACGGGCTCCTCAAACTTTCCGTGCTTGCGCAGGCACGAGCCGATGGAGCCACCCGAAATATACTCGAGGAAGATGGAGATGGAGGTCTCCTTGCGCTCGCAGCCGAGGTACTGCACAATGTTGACATGGTCCAAGTGCTGCATCGTGTCGATCTCCTGGTCGAGCGCGGCCACCAGCTCTTGCATCTTCTTCTTGTCGCCTTGGGCGGCTTTGGGGTTCACTTCGACTTCCTTGACGGCCAAGAATTCACCCGTTGTCGCGTTCATACCGAGGTAGACGCGGCCAAAGGTGCCCTTGCCAATCAGCTGACCCTTGAACCAGCGGAACGTTGTTTGTCTCTTCGGTAGTGTGTTGATGTTGTCTTGCGTGGGAAGGGTCTCCTGGGGAATGGTAGACAGAATGGACCCCCGCCTAGGTTCGATCTGCACAATGTTAGCGTTAAACATCTTTGTGCTCTTTCGCCGCATGAGGTTGGTCGTCGCGTTGGGAACTGCCGGTGTGGCCACGTTCGTCTGCATCGACGTTTGCGTATAGCGCTTGTGGGCTTCGTGCGCACCACGGGCCACCTCACGAATAGACTTCATGCGGCCAAGGCCTCTAGAGCGGCGCACACTGCCCGATACCATCGATGGTGGACGTGACTCCAGCGCCTTGAGCGTAGACTCATCAGACCCCAGGGTATCGCTCTCGTTGAAAGCTGAAGAAACCCTGTTTAGCGGCGGGAGCATAGGAGCGTTGTTGCTACTGCCGGCAACCGCCGTGTTGCTCTGAGCCATGGTTTCCGCCATCGGCTGCGGCCGTGTTTGGAATTGGCTCTCGTCCACCTCGGCAATCGGTGACGGGGCATCAACCTCAACCTCCGTGTCACCGCCTTCCTCAAGCACAGGCTGGTCGACATCCAAGTTGGGGAAGAAGTCCTCAAGGTTGTTGATAAGGGCGTCGGTCGGGGGACGGTTGGCCCAAACATCCTTCTCAATAAAGGACTTGCGCCTGCCAATCTTGCACTCCGTCTCATCCTGTTCCCATTCCTTCGATGACCCCGATGGAACAGGCGCTGACTGCCGGTGACCATGACCCGAGGAAGCTGGCACACTAGCATGCTCAGATTCGTCCGTGAACGTTGCCATTCTGGGGCTGGCCTGAGGAGTAGTGAATGCCACGGATAAGTTCTTCTTCGAGCGATCGGTTGCCACCTTCAAGCTTGGGCGCTTGCCGAGTCCTTCGTCGCTCCCGCCCGAATCGTTTTTGGTCTTCGACGTCTCCGCTGTCTTGTTTTTCGAGATCGGAACCGCGAAGAGGCCATCATCTGAGTCGTCCGAATCATCTTGATCGTCTGCGTAGTTTTGATGGTTTGAACTGGCGTTGAGGGATTCACTCTCAGGAGGTGGGGTGAAGCGCACATCATTATCGCTGAAATCCACATCTGGACCATGGGACTTGCGCTTGGACTCCTCGTGTTGAGCCGGAGCTTGTTGTTGCTGCTGTTGTTGCTGTGGTTGCTGTGCTTGTTGTTGCTGCTGTGGTTGCTGTGGCTGCTGTTGTCTCGACTGGTATTGTTGCTGTTGCTGTTGTTGTTGCTGCTGCGGCTGCTGCTGTGGCTGTGCCTGATGCTGGAGATGTGGATGCTGCTGCTGCGATGATGGTGGCCGGTGATTCTGCTGATATTGTTGCTGGCTGATATGAGACTCGCTTGGTCTCCTACGAGCATTCGGACTAACAGCTGAAGGTGACGGCGCGCGTGCTGTTTGGTACCGCAGTTTAGCATCTGTTCTATAATCAAGCAAGTGGTTCTGATCGTGACGAGGACTTCGCTGATCTGAGCTCGATCTCGCGTGCTGCCCCGAGTCAACCAAAGACATGACTTCCTTACCTCTTTGCTGTTCGCTCATCTCACCACCATGCCCGACGGGCGCTGAGGCGACACGGTTTGGTGATAATGCGCGAGCACCACCAGCGACAGGATGACCGATGCCACCCAGGTGACCGCCTATATTGATTAGCAAACTGCCGATTCCTCCTGATGGTGATGGCACTTCGGCGGTTCCTCTTATGGCGGCTGGCCTCCTCGTCTGCCTCTCGGACGTCGTGTTCTCGCGTATATCCGTCGATACTCGTCTCTGGTGGTATCCATGATCTATGGCGTTGTGATGATGGTGCTGGGTGGCATGCGCCGTGCTAGGTCGGAATCCCTGTCCAGTTTTCTTACTCAGTGAATTGACCTTTTTCAAAGTAGCCGATGGGTCCCCTGGTGGTGCAGGTGCCTTTCGTACCGGAAACAGGTGATCGGGCCTCTTGTCCTCGAAGGGTGAGAGTCGGGGCTGGTCAAAGTCCACTTTCCTGCCGACAATACCGAACGGTGTCGTCTCTCCGATCGGGCTTGTCTCCTTGATTGCGTGCTTTCTCGGGGGCTCTGCCTTGTGCTCGACTGGCTCCGGCACTGGCATCTTCTCGTCCCGGTCCTTGCTGGATATCGTATTCTGCCTTGACGTCGGCGGCGATGAACTAGAACGCTGCCTTTGTCCGTTTAGCCTGTTGAAAGTTTCCTCGTCCATGGGAGGAGCGCCGCGAGGAACATACGATGATGGCTGACCGCTTTGGGTTCCGGTACCTAGGTATGGCGAACTCGTCAAACCGCCCGGTTTTACAAACAGTTTTAGTGTACCGATTGCGTCCGCCCGTAGCCTTTTGTTCGTGAGTAGTTTCATATCATCCAAGGGCTCCTCATGGTCGAACTTGCCCAGCTCAGTCACGTAGATTGCCGCGCCTTCACTGTCAGGTAGGCCCAGGTTGATGCACACTAGCTGTCTCAAGTCATGAGCGGAGTCGATATCAGTAACATCCAACATGCGATAATTCCAGTGATCCAGAGTGGCGAGGAGATAAACCCGAGTAGATACCACGCTCTTCTTCCTACTATGGCCGCTCTGGAACCCGACACTGTGATCGTGAGTCGAGATACTTGAACCGGGGCGCTGATCGAGCGAAGTTTCGCTGACATGACCGGCACGACTGCCAAGCGAGTGAGCCTTGAAGCCGGTAGCTGGACTGGTGGGGGAATCCAGCTCGTCGGGTGATGTTCCATCTTCCTTTCTCTTGTTTCGCGACAAGAAGGACAAGAACGACTTTGGGCCCTTGGCACTGTTCGGAGGGTCAGTCCCGGCACTCCTGTCTCCTGTTTCAACGACACCCAAGGGCCGACCACCATCTTGACCGTTTCGACGATCGAGGTTGTTTGAGTTAAAGCTATTCTTAATCATATCCGCGAGGCTTCCGTTCTTAAACATGGCTGCGGCATCGGCAGGAATACCAGACCCGTACTGTGCTGCGTTTGAGGATACTGAATCACTGCTGTTGCGCGAACGATGACCAAACCTGCTGCCGCTGCGATGTGGTGACGATGACAAGATCGTGTTGCCAGCGTTAGAAGGGAAGAGGGCAGAAGAAGGGTTAGGACTGCCACCGATCGGACTATCCTGCCTTTCTCTCCCGACCGTACGGAAGGTGCCTGCGTTTAGGTCGCCCGATTCGCTCACGTTACTGGTGCTCGGGCTGTGACGACGGGCGCTGTCTATATCCAGATTCCTCATCATGCTACGGTGATTTGGCTCACCTGATGACATGGTACTTGTCAGCAGCGGCATCGTCGTTGCGCGCGATTGGGAGAATCTCCTGCCTGCGAAGCCCGGGCCCGGGGCCTTGGGTCCGGACTGGACTTGCTCTTCCTGCACAAAGAGATGAGATTTGCTGAACTCCACGTTTGGAGAATCTGCAGAATCGGGACCTGCGCTAGGCGGGACGCTTGCACTGACGGACTCTCTGCGGGCATGGCCTCCAGCTCCTCCCCCTCCTCCTCCTGCTCCTCCTTGCGCGCCTCCACTTGCCGCAACTTTGGATGGATCTACAGATCGACCCGTCACGATTCCCCTGATCATTCGTCGCATCCGCTTGCCCTCCTCCCGCTCTTTCGTCTGGTCCCAGCCTGTCTTGCTCATCTGGCACTCATGCGCCAGCTGCGGATATACTTGCTGATGCATCATGCCAAAGTTTCCGCGACCACCATGACCACTGCCGAGCTCCAGAAATTGCGCACCATGAAGGTTCAAGACCTTGAACGTATTCACCCAGTCCTGGGAAAAGCTGTTTGCCTGAAGCCACATCAGGACCCTATCAAGCGGCCACTGCGCTGCCAACTCGGGCGGAATAGCCGACGAGCTGTTGGGGGTGTTGCTGGTGGTCGATAAGCCCCTATCCGCCGTGGGAGCAGCGTGCAGCCGATGCGCATCCTCCATAGATATTCCTCCCAAGCGCTGCTGTTCGGCCCCGGTCCAGTTGCCTGGGCCCCCGATCTCGTCGGGCAGCCCCAAGCCCGGAATGCCCACACCTTCACCATACGTATCGCCGGCCGATGGAATATAGGTCGCGCTCATTTGCTCGCTCGGCGGAGGCGGGGGAGGTATCGTGATCGAGGTAGCGGGGGGGCCTGGGGTATTGGAAGCGGACGCAGCCGCCGCCGCCGCCGCTGCAGCCGCCTGCGCATGCAACAAGGGATTGTAGGCCTGTAGCCCGCCATTTCCACCAGGCGGAGGAGGAGGAAGATTGAAGGCGGTTTGTCCGTTGTATGGGCGTCCCCAGGCGCCATGCCAGGGTGCAGCGCCCAAGGCGCTCGGCGGGGCTATTGCGCTCGGAGGGAAACCCGGGTTCCCGGGAGGCGGGCCGGGAGGAGGCGGCAATAAGGATCCGCCCACAGTTCCTGGTGCGCCCGGGTAGCGAGGGGGTGGAGGAGGAATGTTCATGACGCTGTTGATGCCTGCAACTCCAGAACCGACTTGCGGGGGTGACATGGGCGGTGGTGGCGGCGGGACCGCAAAGGGCCGCGGAGGGTCCCTCTGGCCATTTTGGTACATGGCCGGAGGCAACACCTAGGTGCGGGTGTTGAGCGATGTCGTCGGGAAAAAAAAAGTAAGGCGATAAAGCGATTGCCACGGATGGGTCTGGCGGTATATGGCGGTAGAGATATGTGATGGCCGGCAAGGGTGGCCGGCCACGGACTATCGGTTGATCGAGGTTCGCGGGGCGGGGAAGGCTGAGGCCGATCGTTTTTGCGCGAGTCGTCTGATGTTTTTTGCTGGATACCTGCTGGAACGGGACGAGAGCAGCCTGACGTGTGGTGCAGAGACAGATGACAACAATAACAACGAAAGACAGGAAAGCGAATGCAAGGTATGGGCCGGGCTGCTGGTGGAATACCTAGAGTCTACCTAGACTGTCGTGACATGTGGAGGATGTTGTCGTCGAAGATGGGGATAGAGACAAACGAGCGTATGTCTTCGACGACCAACAACCCTGACTGAAAAAAGAGGGTGTTGTGGTTGTTGGGCCCGGACTCGTCTGATTGGGACTCGAGCTATTGGGTTGCGGCACAGTTGAGATAACAAAGGTCGGGGTAACTGCTGCGACAGGAACGACAAAACCGTCGGTTCGCGGCAGTTGGTATAGCCTGTGTGGGTAGGTAGTGTCCCGAGGTAACGGCCTCCTCTGGTGGTAAGATGGAAGGTAGCTTCAAATAGGCAATACCTAGCTAGCTGCCTAAGTATACAGGTACCTGGACTACCTCTAGGTAGGATCGGTCGACGATGCTGTGGAGAGAAGAGGTAGTCTAGAGGTAGTAGGTAGTGGTGTAGAAGTGGTGGCGACGGGATAGTCTCTTGTGTCTTGTGTGTGTTACTGTGTGACTGACAGGATGGATAGATGGAAGCTGAATGAGGAATGCAGATGGCAACCACCTAGTCGAGGTTGAGATCGGTGGACAGGTAGGTACGGTGCTATTGTGCGGTTGGCTGAAACTGACACAACTTTGACGGATTGAACCAAAGAGGAGGTGTGGTTGCTGTGTGGTAGTGAGTGTGGTACGACAACGTCAACGTCAACGTCAACGACCACGATCTTGCGTCTAGCTCAGCTTGTTTCGGTGTTTGTTTGGTGTTGGTGTTGGTAAGGTAATTAGTTGGTTAGATCTTGACCCGATGCCCGACTGGGAATTGACTCGATGAAAAAAAAAAAAACCGATGGATAAAAATGGAAGGTATCAGACGACATTGAAATTAGATGACCGAGTGAAATGACCCCTTTCTGAATTGCCCGCTCGTGATTTCCCTAGGCATATGTCCTTCCCGTCCCTTGCCCATGTCCAGCGATGGATTCCCAATCTTTTCCCGGCCGGGCCAGACTCCGGTCGCGCATGAAGAACACCATACGACAGGCCTTGTCCGGTGAAGTGTCTTTTGTGTGTCCAGATCAGATCCTTTCTCCGAGATGGCAGCACGTCCAAAACGTGTCGCTCAGGCGTGTGTGCTGTGAGGGGAAAATTGTCCCGCACTAGAGGTACTACGGTTTTGCCCGCCCATCCACCCAAGCAAAGCCTGAGAAGGGAAGCCCAACACCGTGGCCCGTCCAGTCGCCGGGGTCACCCACCTCAGCTAGGGTAGGTACCTCTACCTCTCTCCACTGCCCGTCCGCTATAGCAGCGCCGCGCTGTTTCGGGCGGTATGTGTACGCAGTAGTGTACACGTACCTTGTACTGTAGCGGCGTTGACGTTGTTAGTGCACCCAGGCTCCCTTGCTCGCCTGGCCGGTAGTGACCTCGCTGGGGTTTAACAAGCTGTCCCGTCTGCATATAGGAAGTGGAACAACCAGATCCAAGATCGGTACCCGTGGACACTACCCGACACTACAAGCGAACCTCTGCACTCAGATCTAGCCGCCAGCAAGAAACCGGGCGGGCACTCAGCTGATCGAAGGAAACAGACCCGACCCAACTTCAAATGTTCTTTTCAAGTCTGACATGTGGAAAGCTGTCGGCTCATATCACCACTGCAGTGATCAACACTCAACAGACACCAAAACCGGTGGCTTCCGCTTCTTAATCCGTGCTTTTAACTGCAAGGACCCCCAGTTAACCGGGCCCCCGTCCCCCGCCCGTGCATCTGATAGACCCGACCCGACTTGGCGGCCCCGTTCTTCCAAAAAAAAAAAAAAAACTCTCCGTGCTTCACCTCTCTCCACTTCGGGCTCCCGGGCTTCCCTGACAATCCGTTCCTGTCGGCTGTTTCAACCCTGGGACCGATTCGGGGAAAGGCTGCAGCTATGCCGACCGACCATCTGAAACATCCTTACCTAAACCTCTTCGCAGATACCGACCGACTCTTTCGAAACTGCGTAAAGACACCAATAACAGAAAAGGTACATGTTACCGGCGATCCCGCCCAAACTCTCCCCGGTATATGCTTTGCTCATGTTTCACTTTGATCCCTCGGGAAACTGGGTTTCGGCATCTGACCGATTCTGCCATGTTGAAAGCTTATTCAAAGCTTATTCAACACCACAGACTTTATTTCCAGAGTCTCCCCACACCAACGAAAGGGCACGGTATATAAACGTTCCGCTAAGCAATCAATGCTATCGCTTGTCGACAAAACATTCTTCACTTCAGCGGTACTCATATGAGACTCCCATTCCAAATCGCTGCATTACTTGCTTTATAGTTCAAAGCCCAAACACCCTTCCCTACATGATAACGCAAGCGTCCAAAAACCCTTTAGCCTGGTTAAAGACTTGGTCATAATATCCCACCTCGGTCCCCTCGCCCGAGCCGCCATTGACCTGCTTGACCACACCCGTAACCCGAAGCGTCTGCTCTCCCTCTCCGTGCCACCACCTCAACTTCTGCAACGGCGTCGTCTCTTCCTCGTCACTCCTAATCTCCCACTTGCCCGTGCTTACCTCCACCTGGCACGCATCTTTCGGGAAGTGGTAGTCGGGCAAGAAGACCACCGTTGGAGTATCCGGCTTGGCCCCCTCCGGAGCTTGAATCGTCACGTTGAACTGGCATGACCGCAGGTCGAACCCGTATTTCTTGACGGTACCGGCCGTGGCTATGGGTGCTGGACGCACGTATGCCTCGGCTGCGCGGTATCCGGGACTGTTGGTCAATTCCGGCTGACGTTGCGTGCTCACTGACGATATAGAGGGATTGGTGAGCGTGCGCTTGATGTTAGCTGGGGTTACGCTGCTGTCGTCGTCCAAGTCATCATCTTTAGTGCCTGTTGGAGTCGCAATGCTAGAGCTTGACCCATCGCGACTATGTGACTTTGGGAGGGGTGACTCTGGAAGAAGCTTGTCATCCACCGAAAAGATGGACAAATCTTCTCCGTTCCATTGATCTCCCAATTCATGGTCGTTCTACAATCGTCAGTTAGCTTCAAGTTGGCAAAAGTTGACCATATCTTGATACATACTTTGGTCATATAGAGCCACAAGGTGTAGCCCTCCAATCCCGCCCCTTCAACACCGTAATGGTTGGCATCCATCGCAGCCGACTGGCTCGAGTAGTCGCCCGTCTTGTAGGCATTCTTGTCATCCATGTCATAAGGAATGCCAAACTCGGTCATCACGCACGGGTGATTCCCAATATAATCAAGACCCTCCTGTCTCATGGTGGCATGTTGGTTCTTGAAGCAATTCCGGATAGCCGTTTCTCCAATCTTGATGCCAAACGCAGGGCTCCAATATTTACCGCGAAGAATCCCTATCACGTCGACATTCCACACTCGGTTCCATTTCTTCGTCATGAGGGTGATGCCGTCGTACCAGTGTGGCGCGTATACGAGCAAAGGGTCATCACCATCCGGAGTACCAATGATTTTGGGAGGCAGCTCCATCGTAGGTCCCTGAAGAAGGATGATGGCGTTGGGGTGGATCGCTCGTATCGTGTCCCGGTATTTACGGAAAAAGTCCATAAAATAGCGGTTGCTGAAATACGGGTAGTCGACATGTTCGCCCGTCGTAGGATGCTTGCCAAAGTAGTCCTTTTTGAGCAGGGAGTCGGTGGCTGGATCCCAAACACCGTGTTGAGCCCATATACACTGGCCTAGTTTCCACCCCGGGTCTCTCTTGTAGCCATAGCGAGACTCGTCGTAGTCAGCCGGTAGCCACGCCTGCTCGCCACTTGGGTCAATGAGCGCCCTTCCAACCTTGTACGGACCCATGCCGCCCATGTCCCACGTATCAACCTCAACCGCCCGACCAGACCCCGTAAGTATGGTTTGCCAGATGGTCGGACATGTTCCCTTCTTCAAGTTTTGCTCCTTGGGTATGACGGAAATATCCTCGTAGGCAATCATGCCCTTGTTCGGCTCATTCAGACTCTCCCAGCCAAACACCACATCGTTCTCAATGTCACCTGCCTCGTGTATCCGCTGGGCAAGGTGGGCGCAGGCTCTGAGGAAGTGATCCTGTAGGTAGTCCTGGATGTTTACGCCGTCAATGATGCATTTTGGCGCAAAGTCTCGCCCAGCAAAGAACAGTGTGAACATGGTTGCGGCAGCGAGTCGGTAATAGTTTGTCGACCAGATCATCTTGGGAAAGTTGTGGGGTTCTGGGTAGACGTTATGAACAATGGCCGCCTCCGTTGCGGCAAAGCTTTGTGGGTTCAAACCAGCAGCGTATAGCGTCCACATAGGGGCGCCAGAGCCGCCTGAGAAGCGAGACCACTGTGACGCGCAAATATCAGCTTCCAAAGGCCAACAACTACACACGAGAGAAATTCACTTACGACATCCTGGTGAGGATCCATAAAGATGTAGAAGCCATAGCGCTTGGCTACGCGCAGAACGTCAATGGTGTGCTGTATCCATTCCTCGTCGTAGATACCAGGGCCAGCAGCTTCAATGGCCTCCCACGTAAACACATAGCGGATGGTGTTGTATCCAAACCGCTTTAGACGCGAAAAATGGAGGTGGGCTTCTTCCTTGGGAAATGGTCGTCCAGTAAACTTGACGTTGTCGCCATCGAAGAAGTTCTCGCCGACATGGGAAGGCTGCTCGGGTTTGTTGGGATACTTGGCGTCGCCCGCGACATTGATGCCTCGTAGGGTGATCTGTCTCCCGTGGACGTCACGAAAGGAGCCGTTCTCGATGGTGAGGCGGAAGCCGGCCATGTTGGTGGTGGCAGTGATATACCTGGTTGGTCGGTGATGTCTCAATGATGCACGAGGTAAAGGACAGTCGGTATAACAACTAGTATACGGATTAATGGATTATGTGCTAGGTAAAAAGGTCAAGGAAAAGTCAGGGAAAAAAAGTTTCGAGTTGGGATGATCGGTCGGTGTTGAGTAGTTCCCGCCTGCTCTTCGTTGATCCCATGTTTTGCCTGCTCGGCTCCATGTCAGTGGTCGACGTTTAGGCCTTCCCGTCCCCAATGACGTCGGGGGGTTTAGCGTCGGGGGAACTGGGCGGATACACACAGGGGAAGACGGGGGCGTGGGCCAAGGTCCGCCAGCTCAACGATTCCCCATCGCATACACCCCGCCCGTTCGTTAACCAGACTGGTGAAAGTTTGAGAGAGAATACGGAAGGTATATGGGAACTGGAAGAAAAGGAACTGAAGAATTGATGTAGGAGGGACGAATACCGCAAACGGACCCAACTCGTTCCATCACTTTACATGATGAGCTATTGTCATGAGGTAAAGGGTTAGGGTTTAGTACGTATTTACTGTGTCAAGTACACCCCCTCCCGTCAGTGGACGTTGGAGGTTGCAGTTGTTATCAGCGTGCACCCCTGCATGCCTGCCCCTCTGCATGGTCCCCGCTCCACTGCAAGTGCTTTACGCGTACCGCGGTTTTACGACGCGACTATCACTGAATTGAGGTTGTTCCATGAATCGTGAAATCAACACTGGGAAAAAAAAAGAAAGGCAATCCTTATCCGACCAAACACTCCCAGATATTCACGGAACGATAGGATACTACTCGATTTTAGAAAAAACTATTTTCGTATTCGAGCGCCTTCACAATGCCTCATTCCGAATCACCACCAGAGTCAGAGAACTCGCCGATACCCATGGCCAATGTCGACCAAGAGCAAGAGGATGCCGTTGCTGAGAGCACAACCGCCCAAGTATCGGAAGCCCAACAGCCAGCAGACGAAGACGTTGACATGACAGACTCCAATGCAGTCCTATCGGCCCCGACAAATGGCACAACTCATACCTCAGAGTCAAAGGCTGAAAGCCAAACCGAGACGCCAAACAATCAAGATACCCCAGTACCAGAGACTGCCACGAGTGCGCCGAGCGAAAGCAAACCGGCGACAGGAGTGAAGCTCGAAGAGCTGTTTGATGAGATGGACTCTGACGATGACGAGTTTCCTACTACCAAGGCAGCAAAGAGGGAGCCAGCAAGCTCGCCCGATCTGCTCTCCTCGCAAAGGTAGCACAACCATGCAGTTCAAGCCCAGGACAGCAGAAGCTAACTATGTATAGCGACATGGAGATTGATCTCCACGAAGCCTCAGATCCCGAAGTCATGCGCACATTCTACCAGCGCCTCTTCCCATGGCGATACTTGTTCCAGTGGCTTAACCACAGCCCAACACCCACCAACGATTTCGGCCATCGTGAATTCGCCTTTACATTGCAGAACGACGCATACTTACGATACCAATCCTTCACCACCTCGGATCTGTGAGTCTTTCATACGTCCATTCGGTTCCCTTACAGCTATCCATCTTCTAACCCGATCAATCTGAACAGACTCCGTAAAGATGTCCTCCGCCTCATGCCCTCGCGTTTCGAAATCGGCCCCGTCTACACAGCCAACCCCCGCGATCGCAAAACGCTACGGAACTCGTCAGCTTTCCGGCCCCTCTCCAAGGAACTCTGCTTCGATATCGATCTGACAGACTACGATGACATCCGTACTTGCTGCGACAAAGCCAACATCTGCCAAAAGTGCTGGCAATTCATCACCATGGCCATCAAGGTCGTCGACACGGCTCTGCGCGAGGACTTTGGCTTCAAGCACATCATGTGGGTGTATTCGGGTCGTCGCGGTGCTCACGCATGGGTATGCGACAAGAGTGCGCGGGCGCTAGACGACCAGAAGCGACGCGCCATTGCCGGCTACCTCGAAGTCATCCGGGGCGGCGCGCAAAGCGGCAAGAAAGTCAACCTCCGCCGGCCGCTGCACCCGCACTTGGTCCGCTCCCTCGACATCCTCAAGCAGCATTTTCAGTCGGACGTGCTTGAGGCCCAAGACCCCTGGCGCACCGAGGACCAGCAAGAGAAGCTCCTCGCCCTTTTACCTTCGGATCAGAAGCAACTTGTGTCCGCACTGCGCAACAAGTGGGCCTCATCGCCCGACCGGCCGTCCACCCTGAAATGGGCCGACATCGACAGCGTCGCCAAGACGTCCACCGCCAAAAACTTTGACACCAAGTCCCTCCTGGACGCCAAGCAGGATATCGTGCTCGAGTACACGTACCCGCGCCTGGATATCGAAGTGTCCAAGAAACTGAACCATTTGCTCAAGTCGCCCTTTGTCGTGCACCCGGGCACAGGGAGGGTGTGTGTGCCGATTGATGTGAAGAGGGGATTAGAGAGTTTTGATCCGTTGGGGGTGCCGACGGTGCAGAGTCTGATTAGGGAGATTGACGAGTGGAAGAAGCCGGAAACAAAAGAAGGGGGGCAGGAGCAGGAAGTAGAGAAACATGTGGTGGATTGGGAGAAGACAAGTCTAAAGGGCTATATTGAGTTTTTCCGAAGCTTTGTAATTGGGTTGATGAAGGATGAGAGGGAGATTAAGGTGAAGAGGGAACGAGAGGAGGAAGGCGGAGGAGGCGAGAGTATGGAGTTTTGATGTGTTGATTGAAAAAAAAAGTCGGAATAGGGGAACCATAAAAGGGTTGGGTCAAATGTTTGTGCATCTTGTAATGTGAGAGGTCATTGGCGTTGTATGGTAGGGACTGGATATCGTTTGCAGGCCAAGGTTTAGCAGGTCTACGGCTGGCTTGAACATGGGAACATCATGTCCCTTTTTTATAACTGAGAAGGGTATTTGTTTGGCGGCTCAAAATAATTGGGTATATATGCCCTGTGATGCACCCGTTATCCTAAACCATGCAACGGCTTTCTAATCTGCCACTCGATGTTATGGGGAATCTTCGCTGGGCTTTTCCTACAGAGCAAAGAGCCGTCATCCACGTCATTCGAAGGATTGATTCTGGTGGAGGTCGACAGCGTTTCTACCCAGACATTTGCACATCCTGTGCTTGCTCTGTCGTCTGGTCTGTGACCTCGGGAGCTGCAGCCTCACCATTGGCTTCTTCGGTGCCGTTCTCCTCCTCTTCATCATCCTCGCCGTTGTCCGCAGCAGGGGTACCACACGACGACTCTGCCTTGAGGGTTCCGCCCTTTCTCTTGGGAATAACGGTCAGGAACGCCTCACCCCAGTCACCGCACTCGAGCCATTTGGCCATGATCTCTACAACCTGGTTTGTCGTGAGGACGTAGCGGCTCTGCATCGCCATATACTCTCCAATCGGCAGCTTGGCCGTCCGCACCTTTGCCGCCTTGGCCCGGCCGTAGCAGAGGCCCTTCTCGCGGTTCCTATCCACCAGGCCGCCAATGACGTAGCACGTGTTGGCTTCTAGCTTGTCCAGGGTGTAGTCAGACTCTGCCGACAGGTAAACAATCGACTGGTTCACATCCTCGGCCTCTTCCTCGGGCTTCGGCTTGGGAGCCGCAGCAGCAGCAGCAGCAGCAGCAGCATCACCACCCTCTTCCGTCTCCTCGGCTTCCGGCTCAGGAAGCAACAACCCACCATTTCCACTCGGCTTGAGGAGATCGATCATGCCCTCTTTGACATCAGCCTCCTCCATCATACCCTTCGCAATCTCCGCCGCCTGCATAAAGTCGCCCTCGACGCACTTTACGCCGCCCTTCCAGTTCAGGTGGGCGTTCTTCAGCACCCGCTCGAACCGGTCCTTGAGCTTGCCCTTCCACGAGCTGATGACCAGCTGCGCCTGGTACTTGGCCCGGCGGTTCTGCGAGTAGGACCGCACAATCTGCGACGACAGCGACACAATTTCGTTTTCCCGCATGTACTCCTCAAAGTCGCAGTCGATGATGAAGGCCACGGGAACGGGGTGCGCCACCCACGGCTCCTTGCACAGTTTTTTCAGAGCCTCCTCTGGGTCCTGGCCGGCCGCTTGGGCTTCGGCTACCACAGCTTCTTTGAGGGCTCGCTTCTTGGCTTGTTGTTGGTGTCGCTTTTCTTTGCGCTTTTCCTTGCGTTCTTGTCGGAATTGCTCGTGGGCTGCTTGGCGGCGGAGACGCTTGAGTTGGTTCTTGGAGATCTTGGGGGTGTCATCTTCTCCTTGTTGTTCTTGTTGGGCTTGTGGCTCTTGAGCGTTGTCTGTGGTGGTGGTTGTGGTTTGCTCGGTCGGTTGCTGCTCCTCGCTGCTGCTGGAAGCCGGCTGCTCGGTTTGTTGTTGCTCGACCATCTCTTTTGTTATCTGCTCCTCCGCCTTTCGCTTTGAATTGGCTGTCGATATGGTGTCTGCTGAAGGTTCTGTTTGGGCCACAGCGACTTGGGGGGTTTGGTCCGCCATATTGTTCGGTGACCAAGATGGAGAGAGAAAGATAATCGAGTTTTGGGAATTGGAGAAGGCGACGAGCTAAAAGTTTAAGTGGGGAAAGGATTTAAAGGCCGCGGACGGGAGCGTGTCAATGGAGGCGACAGAAACTAGCGTAGAAAGACCCCTCTGTTTTAGTGGTTATTTTTAGGCGGTCTGTGCTGTGAAAGGTGCTGTCGGCAACTTTGTGACAGGCACCGCCCCGGGCCGTCCATGCCTACCTAGAGGTAGGTTGACGCGTTCCCCATGCATCTCTTTTAATTGAAGCGCGTCTCCCAAGACACCTACGCAGCCGAGGCCAAGCATCATCTTTCCGCAAAAAGTTCCTGGTGTCACCACCACCACTGCAACATCGGCCCTCCTCCCACTGTTCTTCCTGTGTAATTTGTGTCGTCAGGCAACTGGGAGGCCTCAGTCTTGTACTACATTAGTACCGGACGAGACTTCAGCGACCTATCTTGGCCAAAATGTCCTCCAGACCAGAGCTCAAGGTTCGTCAACAGCTCCAATGGGAAAAAAAGGACCATAGTCGACGGCTTGCTAACCATCTGACTTCATGTCCATAGGTCGACGACGAACATGGCTTCATTCGCTTCTACAAGTCCCTGCCCCAACTTGGCGAAGAGGCTATCAGGATTTTCGACAGAGGCGACTGGTACACAGCTCACGGCGACGATGCCACCTTTATTGCCCGAACTGTCTACAAGACAACATCCGTCATTCGCCAGCTAGGTCGAAGCGACCATACCGGCCTTCCATCAGTTACCATGACCGTTACCGTATTTCGACAATTCCTGCGTGAAGCTCTTTTCAAGCTAGGGAAGCGAATCGAGATATGGGCCAGTCCCAGTGGCCGCATGAACTGGAAGGTCGTCAAGCAGGCTTCTCCGGGAAACCTGCAGGACGTGGAGGATGAACTAGGTGGCCAGTTCGAGGGAGCGCCCGTCATCCTGGCGGTCAAAATCTCGGCAAAGGCTTCGGAAGCCAGAACAGTGGGAGTGTGCTTTGCCGATGCCAGTGTGCGGGAACTGGGAGTCAGCGAGTTCCTCGACAATGATCTATATTCCAACTTCGAAGCGTTGCTCATTCAACTAGGCGTCAAGGAGTGTATCGTCACACAGGACAAGGGCGAGAAGGAAAAGGACCCAGAGTTGGCCAAGTTGAGGCAGATCATCGACAACTGCGGTGTTGCCATAGCAGAGAGGTCTGCGGGCGAGTTCGGCACCAAGGACATCGAGCAAGATCTGTCACGGCTATTGAAGGATGAGCGCGCTGCCAGCTTGCTCCCACAAACCGACTTGAAACTCGCCATGGGATCTGCCTCAGCCCTGATCAAGTATCTAGGCATACTGCATGATCCGTCCAATTTTGGCCAGTATCAACTGTACCAGCATGACTTGGCCCAGTTCATGAAGCTGGATGCGGCAGCATTGAAGGCTCTCAACCTCATGCCTGGTGCTAGAGATGGCGCAAAGAACATGAGTCTGTATGGGTTATTGAACCACTGTAAGACTCCAGTGGGAAGCAGACTACTGTCCCAATGGCTCAAGCAGCCCCTGATGAATGCCGAGGAAATTGAGAAGCGCCAGCAACTGGTTGAGGCCTTTGCCAATGACACCGAGCTACGACAGTCAATGCAGGAGGAACATCTTCGATCCATCCCTGACTTATATCGGCTGTCTAAGCGGTTCCAGCGTGGTAAAGCGACACTAGAGGACGTTGTGAGGGCATACCAAGTGGTTATACGCCTGCCCGGCTTTATTGGAACCCTCGAAGGCGTCATGGATGAAGCCTACCGCGACCCTCTTGATGAGGTCTACACCAACAAACTCCGCGAGCTCTCAGACAGCCTCGTTAAGCTGCAGGAAATGGTCGAGACCACAGTTGACCTTGACGCCCTCGACAACCACGAGTTTATTATCAAGCCCGAGTTTGACGATAGCCTACGCATCATCCGCAAGAAGCTCGACCGGCTTCGCACAGACATGGACAACGAGTTCGCCGAAGCCGCCGAGGATCTCGGCCAGGAGCGCGAGAAGAAGATCTTCCTCGAGAACCACAAGGTTCACGGCTGGTGTATGCGTCTAACCCGCACCGAGGCTGGCTGCATTCGCAACAACTCGCGCTACCTCGAGTGCTCAACCCAGAAGAACGGTGTCTACTTCACCACCAAGACCCTCCAAGCGCTCCGCCGCGAGTTCGACCAGCTCTCCCAGAACTACAACCGCACCCAAAGCAGTCTCGTCAATGAAGTCGTCGGCGTGGCCGCCTCATACTGCCCTGTCCTCGAGCGGCTCGCCGCCGTTCTCGCCCACCTCGACGTCATCGTCTCCTTTGCGCACTGCTCTGTCCACGCTCCCATCTCCTATGTCCGACCCAAGATCCACCCTCGCGGAACCGGCCGCACCGTCCTCACCGAAGCCCGCCACCCGTGTATGGAAGTCCAAGACGACGTAACCTTCATCACCAACGACGTCACCCTCACGCGCGAGGACTCGTCCTTCCTCATCATCACCGGCCCCAACATGGGCGGCAAGTCGACATACATCCGACAGATTGGTGTGATTGCGCTCATGGCGCAAATAGGCTGCTTCGTGCCCTGCTCATCAGCAGAACTAACCATTTTCGACAGCATTCTCGCCCGCGTCGGCGCGTCCGACTCGCAGCTCAAGGGCGTGTCGACCTTCATGGCCGAGATGCTGGAGACAGCCAATATTCTCAAGTCGGCCACGGCCGAGAGCCTGATCATCATTGATGAGCTCGGCCGCGGCACATCGACGTACGACGGCTTTGGTCTCGCCTGGGCCATCTCGGAGCACATCGTCAAGGAGATTGGGTGCTTTGCGCTGTTCGCCACCCATTTTCACGAGTTGACCGCGCTGGCGGACCAGTATCCTAACGTCAAGAACCTGCACGTTACGGCGCACATCAGCGGCACTGACACTGACACCGATGTAATCACCGACGAAGACGAAAAGGCAAAGAAGAAGCGCGAGGTAACCCTTCTGTACAAAGTCGAACCCGGCATCTGCGACCAGAGCTTCGGTATCCACGTCGCCGAGCTGGTTCGGTTCCCAGACAAGGTGGTGCGCATGGCCAAGCGCAAGGCAGACGAGCTGGAGGACTTTACCAGCAAGCATGACGAGGAGAACGGGGGTGGTCTAGGTGTCCAGTACAGCAAGCAGGACGTGGAGGAGGGCAGTGCGCTGTTGAAAGATGTACTGGTGAAATGGAAGGATGAGGTCAAGAGTGGGCAGATAAGTAAAGAGGAGATGGTGGCGAGGTTGAGGGAGTTGGTACAGAAGGATGAAAGGTTGTTGGGGAATCCGTTCTTTAAGAGTGTCCAGGCTCTGTGAGGGCGGCTTACGCGTCACTGAGTGGTGATGGTGGACGGGTTAACTGTTAGAAATGTTCTCAATTGGGGGGTATGGTTGTAAAATGTAAGGACGGATGCGGGCGGTGTATGGCGTACGGAACTGTTGCTGGGTTATGTGGCAGGTTTAACGAGTGTTTGCCCTGAATCTGGGCGTTTATTTATTATTCAAATCATTCGAGGGAGATTACATACGGCAAGGCAAGGAAGGCGTACGGAGAGCAGTGTTCGTACAGAGTCATGGATCAAAATATATGAGCTAAGATGTCAATGGTGAAGGCGTACGGAGAGCAGAGTGTTTGAGCAGGTCACGGATCAAAATATACGAGCCAAGATGTCAATGGTCGGGCAGATATGGCGCTGGACTGTCAGTCATATATACGTGGACGGTCAAAAAGGTACTGTCCCACCTCGGAGATTGTGTGTTTCTCTCTAGCAGTATTTGTTGACTAACAGTTGTAGGTAGAAGTGAAGAATCACTATCCTTTTCCTTCAGCGGCAGGAATTTTGTCTTATAGTGTACTGCAGTGATGACATAGACTATGCAGGACTTGGGAAGTTCAAGGTGTGAAGGTTAGATTTGAAGAGTAGACTACTCGTCTACACTAAAAAAGCCCTTGCATACCCTTAAGCTCCATCGCCAGCGGCGTTTCTAGCCCAGACGATCCGAACGATTAAATATCCAGCAGAGAATAATGTTCGTTTCATGCTGTAACCTTTACCTGCCCCCTATCTCAAACCCTGTTCATTCGTTGCACGAGCAACTTCTTCAGAAGTTATGTCGATTATGCTGTTACAGATCCCCAGTTGAGTTGACTTTGCAAGGCTCGGCCGGACAAAGTCCCCGTGATTTATTGTATCCAGGTTCAAGGAAAGGTACCACATCACCGTGATGACCTGACAGATTTCCAAGTCCAGACCCAGATCCGGTGTAATCATATTCGAGAGTCTGGTCGAAACCAGTTGAAGAGCCATGAGGCCTTTATGAAAGTTTGGATGGCCCGGACCGGTTGCTTGTCAAGGGCAGGCGGTAGTTCCGGTGAACTTCGCACATCAAACATTCCTGCCTCGTTTTTCTTCAGTGTGAAACTGACAACCCGAGACGGGCTGTTCGCCGATCCCGTCACTCTCTAATTCTTATAACCAAACCAAAAAAATGCTATTTTGATATCCTAGAAGCCTCCCCCTCTATTGGTAAATCTAATCCCCGTACAACGGATGTAACGTCCATCTTCCTTCCCTTCTTTTCCCCCTCAAACTTCTTTTTCAAAACCTGTCCCTCTCCTTCTCCCTCCTCTGCGCCGCCCTCTTCAAAATATCCACCTGCTCCTCCTTCAACGTCAAGTACACCCAAAACCAACTAAACGTCTCGACAAACATGAACGTAAAAAACACGCGGTTCTTGAGCGCATCGCCTCCCCAGCCCCAATCGCCCGCGACTTCCTTGGCCGCATACTGGCTCTCGAACGAAGACGACGTCGTCGGGTGGCTGAACTTTCCTCCCGAAGGGGTGGCCGAGTCATACAGCGGGGACGAAGCCGAGAAGAAGAAGCTGTAGAGCGTCAAGAAGAAGGAACAGGTCAGGCGCAGGGGCACTTGCGAGCCCCAGTGGTGGATCAAGGCGATCTCCTCGGGCATGGAGAGCGAGACGAGGTCGGTGAGACCCCAGAGGCCGAGGACGATGCCGAGGAAGGCGGCGGTGGGGGATTGCGTGTCGAAGTGGCGGGAGTGAGGCTGTGTAGAGGAAGATACAAAGGTTAGGATCATGTATCGTTATTACGTGCGCAAAGCGGAGGAGAGGAGGGAAGAAGGGGGGGGGGGACGGAAAAGGGAAAAACGTACCAGGCCCATGGCCTCTCCCATTAGCCAGACTACGCCCTGGTCGGCAATGGTGGCGGGATTGGTGACGAAGAAGAAGGCGAGGGTGATGTGGAAGAGGCAGATGGAGGTCAAAATCGTTTTGGCGGATATAAGCCCCATGGTGACGGATGGGTTCGCTGTCGCGATTCAACAAAGTCGGCTTCTTGACAGGATGGATGGTACTGGGCTGGGCTGCGTGCGGTAAAGGGGCGTTGGATGCTGGATGCTGCGTAGACGGGTGTGCTGTCGCTGTAGGTAATGTCCAGAAGCCTGTTGACGCGACGTATAATGTCCGCTGTGTCGTGTGCCGTAGAAGTTTGTTGTCCTTTCAAAACGAGATGTTCTTATGTCTAAGACAGCTTTCAACTTTTTTAGGGACCAATTGATGAAGCTAGAACATTCCCACGTCCGGCACTTGTATCGCAGAGAGATGTACGTACTTGTAGTGTAGAGCTAGTTTGAGCTTACACTACCCTAACCCTCTACATACAGCTGCCCCATGCCATTTCCACACCTTGATGGCCTGGTGGGGTCGGGTACAGCTATAGCTCTGTTATCGATAGAGCTGTTGACCTCTCACTCATTCAGGGGGACGGGATTCATCAACAACATCATCATCTTGGAACCAACGTCACACACTCACTCGCCTTCATCTTTACCCACATGAGACTTGAGATTGTATAACGTAGTAATCAGGTAACCCTCTTGATCTAATATCTAATTGGAGTCGCCCGGTGTGCGTCTCACACTCACCATGGAAAACGACAACAAGGCCCACGAGGAGCCCGAGCAGGAATGGCCCTACCTCGACGTCCACCGACATCTTCGATACTGGAAGATGTGCATCCGAGCTCCCTTGCCTCACGTCTACCTCTCCAATGAATCCAATCGCCTGGCTCTGGCTTATTTCATCGTCAACTCAGTCACCCTCCTGACCCCGCCTCCATCAAAAAGAACGCCCGAGACCCCGGAACCTCTCATCAGCCGCGAGGACAAGCGGGCCATGAGAAAATGGGTTCTTCACCACCAACATCCCACCGGCGGCTTCTGCGGCACATCCTCGCTTGTTTTCCCGCTTAACAGCTACGACACATATAACTTTGACACCAAAACTTTGGATGAGCCAGATCATGCCGGCTTGGCCAACATCACCTCCACATTGTTCGCTCTGCAACTGCTGGCCCTTTTGGCGGATGAGGAGGATGAGGCAGCAGGGGAAAACGTATTTGAGGGCGTGAACCGGGTGGGGACGCTGCGTTTCCTAAAGAGTCTCCAGCGCGAAGATGGAAGTTTTGGAGAGGCGCTCAGTGATTTGCCGGGTCACGGGCGGTTTATCGCTGGCGGCTATGATATGCGCTACTGCTATATTGCTACGGCCATCAGGTGGATCTTGCGAGGGGATGTGAAGGAGGGAAGCCCAGGGTGGGTGGAGGATTTCGACACGGAGGCGTTGGCGAGGTATATCTTGAATAGTCAGGTATGTGTTCACTTCATTTCACTTGACTTCACTTCCTCCATGTCTACTGGTGTCGGGGGTCACGAACTAACAACATCCCCTAGACATACGACCGCGGTTTCGCCGGTAATTCCCAAGACGAAGCCCACGCCGGCTACGCCTACTGCGCCATAGCAGCCCTCACCCTCCTCGACCGCCCTCTCACATCCACTTCTTCTTCTTCTTCTTCTTCTTCTTCTGTACCACACAAATCCCCCCTCCTCCACTCCTCCATCCGTGACCTCCCCGGCCTCATCCACTGGCTCGCCTCTCGCCCCTTTGTCTACCTCGAACCGCCTCCCCCCTCTGCGGACCAGGACCCAGACACCTACATCTACCAAGAAGACGACCTCGACGACCCCAATTTCTTGTTACCTCCAACCCCCTCCGACCTCCTCTGCCTCCTGTCCCAAACCGCCGAAAAGAAAGGCCACGACAAGACCCACGTAGCCTTCAACGGCCGCACCAACAAGGTAGCAGACACGTGCTATTTTTGGTGGGTAGGCGGCGCCCTCGCCAATTTGGGGAGGTTGGACTCTTTGGTAGACAGAGAAGCCGCCAGACGGTTTCTGCTGGAGAAGATGCAGCACCGGATCGGCGGGTTCGGGAAATCCCCGGGGAGTCCGCCGGATCTATATCATAGTTTTTTTGGGCTGGCGATTTTGGGGCTGTTGGGGGATGAGCGGGAAGGGGGGAAGGTGAGGGGTTTCGATGCCGGCTTGGCGGTGCCGAGGGAGACGGTGGGGGTCATTGAGCGGGCGAGGAGGAAACTGATTGAGAGCGAGAAGGGTGGGAAGGGTGTTGTTGATGGGGGGAAGGAGTTGGACGCGGTTGAGATGGGGTTGGAGTTGAGGGGCGGTGGGGAGAGACCCAAGTGGCTGGGAGCGTGTGGGTATTGATTGACGTTGGTAGATGGGTGATGATGGTTGGAGTTTGAACTTTTCGTGGAAATAACAAAACAACGTACCAATAGCGAATGAATACCTGGTTGGAATGGGCTTTCACTTGTCAAAACATGTACATACGTACATATCTCTGAGCGATTTGGCGTGCCATCTATGATGAAAGGTAAATAATGAAGACAATTCGGGAATCCATTCGCTTATATGCTCTCACATCCAACATCTCATATTCCATATCTCATCAAAATCATGAACTCATCAAATACAAACGATTTCAAGCAGCAAGGGCATGCTTGATAAGCGTCTTGTACCCCTCCACCGCAGTCTCCAAATCGCCAACCTTCAACCCCTCATCATCACCATGCGCCACCAAGATGGTTCCAGGGCCATACAAATAACTAACATGGTCACCCTCAAAGTTAGGCACATCCGTCCCATAGCTCGCCACCATCGTCTCAAACCCGTCCACGTCGCAATTACACTCCACAGGACCATACCCGCCGTTCCACTCCATCGTGAACGCCTCGGCATCCGTCTCCTTCAAGATCTTATCCACCGCCTCCCTCACGATATTCGCGCCCGTCGTCTGGTTGCCCACCGCCACGCGGATGGCCAGCTTGGCCTGCGCCTCCTTGGGAATCACGTTCGCCGCCACACCGCCAGCAATGGTACCAATGTTCACCGTCGTGTTGCCGTAGCGCTCGCTGCTGCCTAGGTCCGCCGAAATGATCTTTGCGAGCGCCTTGACCAGTACTTCGGTGGCGCTCTTGAACAGCCACGGGTAGCCCGAGTGACCCGCGATTCCCTGCGCCTTGAGCAACCCGCCCGCGTGGCCCTTGTGTCCGCAGCTGAGCTTGTTCTCTGTTGGCTCGCCGTAGATGGCCGCGTTGAAATGCAACCGGGGCAACTCCTTCTTGTTGTTGTTGTTGTTGCTCTTGTCAGCGTCTTGATCGTTGTAAGCGGCTGAGAAAGTCTTCATCCCGTCGCCGCTGATTTCTTCGCCCACGACGAAGAGGAGCATCAGGTCGGCCGGGTCGACCTCTTTGGCGCGGATGAGCTCCTCGACCGCGACAATTTGCGCGGCCACGCTGGCTTTGGCGTCGACGGAGCCGCGTCCGCTGATGAAAGTGTCGGATGTGACTTGGTCGGACCCCTCAGGGGTGTTGATGTGGTAAGGGATGAAGGGCGGGACGACATCGATGTGCGAGGTGACTAGCACGCGTGGGCTGGACAGGTTGTGCGAGCTGGGCCAGGCGAGCACGTTGAAGCGCCCTTGGGAGTGGTCATCGCCGTCAGAACCGTGGGAAGTCTTGTCGCTTTCGAGGAATTGGGCCTTGGCTGCGTAGCCGAGGTTGTTACGGAGGTAGTCAAGGAGGAACTTGCCGACTTCTTGCTCGGTGCGAGAGATGGAGGGGATTTCGATTAGGGATTTGTGGAGGGAGAGGAGGTTCTTGCGGTAGGATGGCCCATCGTTGGCAGCGGATGAGGTAGAGATCTGGAGGGGAGAGATGGAAGCATCATCGACGATGAGTGGTTGTTGTTGGTAATGGTTGTTGTTGTCGATGACGAAGGCAGAGGTGGTGTGGGAGAGAAGGGAGGTGCCCCAAAGGAGGAGAAGGTTCGGTGTTGCTTTCATCGTTGCTGGGTATTTCCCTTGTGGTAGTCCAAGGGAATGAAGGAAATCTAAGAAAAAAAAAGTATTGGAATGGAAACTTGAAGTCATCAGATAAATATTTCCATCTCAAGTTGCGAGCTGTGACCGCAATTGCGAATGTCGAACCCCACACCCGGCCGGGTCCGCATGCGGCAGCGGGAGAGCTTCGTTCCACTTTGGAGAAGAGTGGAGAGGCCTGCGTTGTTTGGGGGATTCCCCAATCGCCGACCCCTGCGTTGCCCTGCCAAGACAAGACAAGTAAACAAACATCTCCAGGTGACAACGGTGTTTTGATTCCCGAGCACACAGACCTTGGTTGAACCCACAGCATACTCGAGTCTTACGACTCAAGTGTTGAATATCATGCGTTCTCTTTCTCTTTCCCAGTAAAACATCAAAACCCTGAATTTTCTAATACCTATGCCCTACGCCTGCCACTCAACGCCGAAACCATATCGCCAAGTCTAACCGCCAGGTCTATGTATGTATATCTACTGGAATCTCTCAGGCATCAGGTCCTCAAAGTGGAACTTGCCATCCTCTCCCTTCACCACGGTGCCCTTCTCGGTGACAATGGCATCGATGTACTCGTGGGGAGTCACATCGAAACCAGGGTTCCATACGCCGATTCTCTGGTCAGCGATCGCAACTCTGACAGACTTGCTGGTGTCGATGGAGCCATCGGCGTTAACAACAGCGCCGCTGATCTGAGTCAACTCCTCACGCTTGCGCTGCTCAATCTCGATATCATCACCGGTCTCGGTGTCAACGTCAATGCTGGTGGTAGGGGCGGCAACCATGAACTTGATGCCATGGTGCTTGGCGAGGACCGCAAGCTGGTACGTTCCGATCTTGTTGGCAGTGTCACCGTTGCGAACAACACGGTCGGCACCAACGATAACGGCGGCAATGTTCTCCTCGGCCTTGCGCAGACGGAATAGGGCGGCGGCCATGCTATCGGTCACCAGGGTGGCGGGGATGCCCTCGTGGACAAGCTCGAAGGCAGTCAGACGGCTGCCCTGGTTGTAAGGGCGGGTCTCGGTGCAGTAGGCGTGTCTGAGGAGGCCTTCGTCGCGGAGGGTACGGATGATACCGAGGGCGGTGCCGTGGCCGGAGGTGGCGAGAGATCCGGTGTTGCAGTGGGTCATGACAGTAATCTTGCTGTCGTCGGTGATCTTGTACTGCTCCTGAAGCCACTTGGCACCAAACGCACCAATCGACTTGTTGGTCTTGAGATCCTTGGCCAAAATCTCCTCGGATGCCTCAATGAAGGCCTTGATGATAGCCTCCTTGGCCTCAGCGTCCGTCAGGCCCTCCGTCTTGACACCGCGAACGATCTTCTTGAGCAATCTGACGGCGTTGCCAAGATCAACGGCAGTTGGCCTGGACTCGTAGAGATAGTCCAGACGGGAGTCAATGTACTTGATGACATCCTCGGTGCCGGTCGCAGTGCAGCTGCCGTTGTGAAGCTCAACAGAAGCAGCCAAAGCAGCAACAATGGCAATGGCGGGAGCACCTGGGGTCTTTTGTTCAGTACAGATGTCACTTGATTTCACTGTGTAGAGTAGTGCTTTGCATAAACTCACCTCTGACTCTCATGGCCTTGATGCAGTCAAAGGCCTCCTCGCTGGTGGAGACCTCATCGTAGTGGTGCTCATGAGGGAGTCTCAGCTGGTCCAGGACCTCCAACTTGCCCCGGGAATACTTGATGGCTTCGAGAGCAGACATGTTGTTGGTATTGAAGTGAGAGAGGCCTGGGGCTTGAAAGGAACCAAAAACAAACGAATGTATTGGTCTATGAAACACCAAAAAGAAAACTGTATAGGCTGGAGAGATAATCAAAGGAACAGAAGAGACTTCAGAGGCCCTCGAAGAGATGTCACCAAGTATCGTCTTCTTATTCCCCCAGCGTCCTCACTCGCTCGAGAAACTGATGATAAAAAAAGACGCCACCCAAAACCGCTTGCACAATTGCATCGTCTGATTGGCCGAGACGAACCATGCACAAGTGCACTAAGAAAAGCAGCGTAAGGCGTAATAACTAGGGGCTAAACCGAATTTGGGGCTACCTCAAGATCCTAGGGCGGGGCAGGCTCGGGAAGGTCTGGCCGACAAGGTACCTACCTAGTGGAGGTTCCTTACCTTGAGCTTGAACTCGGTACCCGCTGCCGTCACACCGATACGGGGACCTGACAGCTTTACAGTACCGACATGGCTTTGTAGTGTACGGTAACTTCAACAAAACAACTGAGTGCTTCCAAGACGACGACGACGCCTTTGCGACCACCCAACAACCTCTCAAGATAACACCCCGAGTGTCATGCCATAGATCTCGCCCCACGACGGAGCTGTCCAGTATGGAACAGCCCTTCTCGTCCTCCAAGGTCACAGGTTCGAAGCTCCCCTCCCTGACACCATCCATCTCTTCTTCCTGTCCTCCTGTTGTGTTATGACGGACCAATGCTACACCAATAGAGAAGCACTGCTAACTTGCATGTCGAACGTCCACAGTCGAGTACTTCGATCCCCACGATGTCTACAAGCTCCTTTCGCCGGGCCTAATTCCCCGACTGCCCCTCCGCGACCTCAACTGGCAGTCTCACGCAGGTCCCGTGCGATCCATCAACACACTCCACGTCGAGCTTGTTCCCGCCGACCAAGCTGGCACCGTCGATCGGTCTTCGGTTCTCTCGCCCACCCCCGATAGCAAAGCCCCAGGCCGTGGCCGTGGAGAAAGCACCGCTAGCAGCCGCGACGATGGCTTCTCCACAGCGCCCATTGGCGGTGGTCGTGGTACCCCTACTGATAATGCCGGCCCTCCAGGCGCGATTCGTCACTCTGGGCCTGGAATCACCAAAGAACGACGACACCAGATCCCCGGTCTACGGCGCACTCCCTACCTCAAGATCCTGTTCGTGAGGTGCGACGACAACGATGCATACAAGTCGACTACAAGATCCGAGATCCGCGAATGGATCAAGGCAAACACTCATTCGTTGACTCCGGGGAAAACGGCGAGCAATGCTGAAAACCACGACGCCTTTGAATGGTTGATTGTTCACGTTGTTATACCCAACACTGTCGCCGCCACCCAGCCGCGATCAAGCGGGAGCAAAGCGGCCGACTCGAGTTCCGAAAAGACTTCAGCTCTCAAGTGGCGGACTGGGTCCAGCACTCTGTTGGAGAAGCTACGCAATGACTTCAATGGTACGGGCAAGGGTGCCGTTGACCGCGTGAGGCAGATCCGCATTGGCATCAATGACGTCCCGTACGATCTCCTTCCGCGCGTTGTTCCCGCCGTGCCAACTGGCTACCAGGAGACAGAGCAGGACAGCGAAAATGCCTGGCAGGACTTGATTGGAAAGATCAAGGAGCTGATTCTATCGAGTTTCGACATCCGTGTTACCCAATATGAGGAGGACATAAAAGACAAAGATGCCCAAAGGGGTCTGCCTGGCTGGAACTTCTGCACCTTCTTCATCTTGAAGGAAGGATTGGCTCGAGGTTTTGAAAGCGTCGGCCTTGTAGAGGACGCCCTGGTTGGCTACGATGAGCTGAGCATTGGCCTAGACGCTATCATTAAGGAGCAAGCCATTTCTGGCTCGGCTGAAGCTCACGGTGGAGCTCTGCTCGACTATACTGAAGAACTCAAGATTCTTGCTGAGCAAGCTGCAAGCCAGATCTTTTCAGGAAGTATGGAGTTCGAAGATGAGGAGACTGTTGATCTTCAGACGAGCAAGCGGGTGAAAGATACGGATCCCTTTGGCGCTATTCCCATCAGTTCAACCAAGAAACCATATCGCGAACTGATTCTTGCCAACAACATTTCGCTCTTCGACTTCCGATGCTACATTTTCTCCCGGCAGGTTGCCCTCCTTTTGCGTCTGGGCAACGCCTGGTCAACGAGAGAGGAACTCCTTGCTAAACTCAAGGAACAACAAGACATGGCTCCCCGCGGCGTTGCACCCAGGGCACCACCGCCAAAACAGGCATCAGATGAATCCGAAAACCTCTCACAGCTTGCCGAGATCTGCAGGAGGACATTGGAGTTTGTTCCTGCAGTCTCCATGCTCATCCGCAAGGACATTCTAGCCGCCTTGGGACTGGTGAAGGGAGGCGTCGGGGCTGGTGATGATTTCCAGAAAATTGACCCAGTACTGGCCGAGGTCATTGACAATATCGTTGCCTCATTCGCCTTTTCCGTTGCGCAGCAAATCCTTGCCCAGACTTCCACCAAGTCTTTGCAAATCCCTGCCCCCATGCTGGCCACCTCTGGTGACAGCGAACACAAGTCCGCGATCCCGGAACCAAAAACCATGATGCATCCCGCGCGGTCGTCGTCCATCCCCTTACGCCAGTCTATACAACGTCCTCCGCCCAGTCCTGTTGGCTTTCCAGGGCCTGGTCGTAAAGACAGCGTTGGCGAGTATGGCATGGCCCAGTTCCTTAAGACGGGGCTCGAAGAGTTGGCTGCGACAAGAGCTGAGCTGTACACGCTGTCTCGAAACGTTCTCGAAGAATGTGGTAAAAGACGAGGCTGGACTAATGGTTGGGCCGCGGTACCCATCGTAGGAGAGAGCGCCGACTTGCAAGAGATCAGCCTTGACGACGAGCCCTCATCAGAAGCGAAACCCTCAACTGAGGTCGGCTCTGATCTTCAGGCCTCGGTAGCTGGTGTAGGCAACGAGTTGCTACGTACTGCACTGGACAACAAGGATGACTTCTATCGACTGTACGAGACGTTAACCGACAAGGCGATGCGTCACTACTCTGTCGCCAAGTATGACCATTCAGTCCAGGCCACCAAGGCCGACCTCGCGGTCCTCAAATTCCATCTTTCCGAGTACAAGGAGGCCGAGTATTACTTCTACAATACGATCCCGTTCTTTGGGGGATGTTCGTGGAGTCTGCTCGAGCTGTCCATGCTCGTCATGTATGCCAGGTGTTTGAAGGAGCTGGGTAGACAAGAAGACTACGTCACTAAGGCCCTTCGTCAGCTCTTGACAAAGGCTGCAGCAGCTGAGCGAGATAGGCTACAGCAAAAGTCAAAGATCCGTATCGGCAATGGGTCAGTAGCACAGTACCCAGAAAATTCGGCGATATCTGGCTTCCTCGCCGATATGCTGACCGTTTCGGCAACACTAGAGAAAGAGGTCAAGATACCATTGACCAACTTCTTTGGTGAAGTTGAGCTTGACGGACCGCCAACCTATGACGATGATCAAGATAGTTTCTCGCTCTCGCTGAAGCTTAGGAGTCTTCTCGTTGACGAGTTTGATGCAGAGTCTGTTAGCCTTCGCATATCCAGTCCCGGGTTTGGCGGCAACAAGGAGATTTGGGTGCAGGCCAAAGGCCCCGTGACAATCAAGCCTGGTCGAAACAAGGTTCCACTACAAAGCAATATGTTGATGCCAGGGAACTATGAAGTTGACCAGATCCGCATCAAGAGCAGCAATATCTTGCTGCATTTTGAACGTGAGCTTGGACAGGTGGTGGAGAAACCATTCCCCGTCCTGCAGAACCCTGTGGTAACGCTTTACCAGCGCACGAGCTCGCTTGACGTCCGCCTCTCCAGCAGCAAGGATATCCGCCTAGACACAAACAACATGTTGGAGGTCGAGGTCATGACTGGCTGGAACGACATTACGAGTGCTGAGGTGAAGATCAAGTCGGCAACGGGAGGCTTGCGGCTCCTAATGGGGGATGCTGTAATCCTTGATGAGTCGGCAGCCAAGTCAAAGAAAGCCGAGGGTGGAACGTTTACGTTTGGCGCAATTACAAGAGACAGCTCCGTCAAGATCAGTTTCCCTTTCAAGATGGAGCAGGATGTACTCCACGTTGCTGTCAAGGTTGAAGTAACATATTCAACCGATAAGGGAACCTTTACGTTCTTCAAGACCTCTTCGGTCTCCATTGCTCTTGCATTAGGCGTCAACGTCCAGGACGTGTTTAAGCACAAGGCGCTTTTCTCCCGGTTCACCGTCTCCACTGCTAGTCCCAGTCCCTTGAGGCTGTACAAGAGCGAGCTTATTCCCTCGGAACTCTTCGAGTCACATTACGGAATACCACCAAGCGACCCAGTCGCCATCTTCCCCAAGCAACCGGCCAGTCTGCTGTACAAGATCACCAAGAAACCTGGGGTGACTATTGGCCCTAACACAAAGAAGACTCTTTACCTGAAGCTCTGGTACAGCGTCTTACAAGACGAGATCGAGGATCTACTCGACAAGACCCTCACCAAAGACCTCGCAGACACACCCCTTCGGCAGTATTCCAAGCTGATCGTCTACAAAGTCCTCGCCTGGAGCCAAAAGCGGCTCACGGCGTACGAACTCGAGAAGTGCACTCTGCTCGGCGAGCTCTCCACCTCTTTTCTATCCGACGTCAACTGGGCAACCCAATTCCCCGGCATCGGGCCCACCTCCAGTTCCTCTCTGAAAGGCGAAGACAGCCACCAAATCGCTGCCCAACTAGCCGCCTTCCTCCGGTCCTGGCTCCTCGCCAACCCTGTCCTCCCCTTATCCGTTCCCAATCACAACAGCTCCCTAATCAGCACCATCCTGATCCCCGTCGACATCCCTCCCATCACCATCGTCCACACCACCGACATTGTCTTCCAACAACCTCCCTTACCCATCAACTCCACCTCTTCCTCTACCTCTCTTGACGACGTTCAAGGCCACCCAACCTTCATAATCAACCAACAACTCCCCGCCACCCTCCGGCTCAAATGGACGCGCATCTGGGACACCGTCTACCCTGCGTCCCCTCAACGCTCCGAAGACCTCGAATTCAGCTACGAGATTAACGCTCCGCCTGATACTTGGTTAGTGGGCGGTCGACGAAAAGGGCATTTCGTTATTCCCGCCGCTACTACTAGCAACCCCACAGATCAAGACGGGGAAAAGAAAAGTAGTACTAGAGAAAGTTCAACTCCCCAAACAGAAGCCGATATTCCCCTCCTCTTGATCCCGCTCAGAGAGGGATACCTCCCTTATCCAAGCGTGGATATCAAGCAGGTCAAAGCTACTGCTGTTTCTGCTACTGCTTCTCATTCTTCTTCTTCTTCTTCGACTTCTCCGACTAGAAACAACGAAGGGCAGCAGGCTGGTGGTGCAGTACAACAACCACAACAACAACAGCAGCCACAGGGACACTACGAAACAGATAATAGAAACCTTGGAGAGGTGGTGCAAGTCATTAGTGACCGGGCGAGGGTGACGCTGAGCTTGGACGCGAGCGGACCGGCGGGGGGACCGTTGGTGTTGGAGTGTGAGAGGGTGGGATTGGAGGGGGAAGGGGGGAGGGTTGTTGCTTAGTTTGGGCTGGGCTGCTTAGTGGACTCTGTCAGTCGGAACGTTGACTGTTAAAGAACGGTGACTGTTAAAGAAGAGGTGTGAAGTGGGTTGTTTAGGGTAGCCAGTTTTTTGGGGGTTTTTTTTCTTCTATTTTTTTTCTGCACTTCTGTACTTTACGATATGATATGACATGATGGCATCAACATAGATTTTCAGTATAAACAGGTTTGAACTATGTTGCTTTACCTGTACGGGAAAATAAAAGTCATGTGTAGAAATGGTGATGGGTGGTTGTGAACTGGTACGACATTGTATAAAGTATACACGCGCAGGTCTCACAGATAGGGGGCACGGGTGTTGTTGCACTGTTTTGGGACAATACGACCATAACGATACGTTTTAAAAAGAACAAGTGAGGCAGTAAGTAGAATAGTATACGGTTATAGCGTATTTTCTCTAGCATAAAAGGCTCTGTCTCTTCTCTCTTCTCTCTTCTTCTCTCTTCCTATTTCTTATTTCTTAGCCGGTGGTGGTAGCATGATTCCATAACAGATTACTAGATACAATGAGGATGAGGTATTGGCAGGGTCTATCTAGGTAGTTAGACTCGTGTGTGTGTGTGTCTCTAAACTACTTAAATACCCTCGAAGTCACCACCGAGATCATCCTCATCCAGATCGCCCTCCTGTATCTCCTTGGCCAAATCACGCTCGCGCTCTCGTGCTTCCTGGGCATTCTTAAGCTCGAGACGGTGCTGGTTCATGGGGAAACGCATCGCCTGGAAAAGAGAAGAATTTGTTAGAAAAAGTTATGGGATTCGGGCGGGGAAAAAAAAAAAAGGAACATACCTTGACACTCTCATCATGCAGAGCCAAGCAGGCGCGGATACGATCATGGAACGCCTCGGCCGGTTCGCTGGTGGCATACACGTCGCCCACCTCCTTGCTCTTCATGAAGCCGCGCTCCCTGTCGAGTGTGGCCTCGATGACGCCGTCCCTGATCGCCTTGGCCACAATGTACTCGGCACTCTCCTCGCTACCGAGGTGCAGGCGGATGCAAATGTCGCGGAGCGAAATGCGGCTGTAGCTCAGACTCATCATGCGGATGCCCGTCTTGATGACGTTTTGGCGCAGGCGCAGAATCAGGCTGTAGGTGCCGTCGCGGCGGAAGGTGTCGGCATGCTGGGCAATGGTGGTCTCGAAGTCCTCGAGGTTGCCGACGCGCACGGCGCGGACGAGCAGGAAGTACGGGTGGAGAGTGGCTTCCATGGTCAGTTGACGGAAGATGGCGCGGTCGGGGATGTCGCCCATGAGGAGCTCTACGACGAGCAGGAGCTTGGTCGCCGTCTGGCTGAAGCCAAGCGCGCAGGCGCTCGAGGGAGCCTTCCGTGTCGCCGCAGTGAGATGCTCATGGGCCTCGGTGTACCGTAGCTGAATAGCCCGGACACGGCCGAGGTAGTACAGGAAACGCGCGACCTGGTTGTTGGCAGCGTTCTCGGGGAACTGCGTATGCTGCACCAGCAGATCGGCCTGGGAGATATGCGACGTGAGGAGGTAGTTCCGGAGCAGGAGGACGATGACGGAAGCCTGGGTGTCGATATCCTTTCGTAGCACGGCGGTTCGGAGAGCGGCGAGGAGGATGGGGCGGATCGACACAATCGGCGACTGGGGGGAAGGCGGGAGGGGAGCGAGCTGCTCGGCAAAGAGCGAGAAGTAAAAGTACACCTTGGCCGAGAGGCTGTCTAATGTGCGGCGGTTGAGGGACTGGATACGCTCGGAAAGGAAACGCGACAGGGCGAATCCGCGCTGGAACTGTTTGGTGTCGTAGAGGTGGACCTGCGCCAGAATGCCTAGGAAGATGTCGATCTCAGGAATAACCTCCTTGGGTTCCTTCTTGCCACCGTTCTTAGCTGGCGACTTGGATCCCGAGTCGATCTCCATCTCTGAGCTGCTGCCGAGAGTCACATTTGGCCGGTCGACAGCGAGCAGCAGGTGCTCGGCAACTTGAGTATTGGGTGAGGACGCGGAGAAGGTTTCTGAGACGACTTGTGCGAGGATGTCGGGCGTCAGGCGTTTCCGGATCGACGAGATGGATCGCAGTGCCCGTAGAGAGAATCTGGGATCGAACAGGGCAACAGCACGGTCTAGCAGCGCAAAGTTGCTCTTGATATCTGCGCAAGCGAGTGATGGTTAGTTCAGCTCGCAAAGATAGAAGCTGGGGATTGGGAAGGTATCGTACCGCTGACGGTTTGGGCGACGGGGTCGACCTGGGCCTCAACCTCGCCGGCCTTGGTGTCGTCTTCCATGGCAATGTCACCATCGGCGTCGTTGGGAGGTTGCGCAGAGTTCTGCTTGTTCTTGGGAGGGGGGACAACGACGGTCATTTCGTCCTCGCCTTGCTTTCCCGACTTCTTGGTATCCTTGTCCGTCATGTCGAGATCCTTTCCACCCCAATAGCTTCCGTGCTCAAGTGGTTCCTTATCTAGAGCGGTTCCGGGTTATAAGCTGGCTGGGCTAGAGGTCGTGGTTGCTGCGTTGGTAACAGCCCGATGGTCGATGGGAAACGGGGTGATGATGTGGTGGGGGGTTGACGGTTGCGTTGGCGCGGTGGGTGATGTTGGAGTGCTGTGGTGCGGTGATGATGACGCCGTTTTGGTGGGCAACCTAATAGTGCAGAGGTATGAGTTCGAGTTGCTTGGGGCGATCTCGCGAAGCGCGCCCTTCTTGCAAGCCTGGAGCAAGCACCTTTTAGCAGCAGCAGCTGGCAGAGTCGCAGTGGATCTAGCTCACGGCGGGGAATGGAGCACTAGAGAGGAGGTACCTATGGGGGTGACCTCGTCGTCGGCGTTATTGAGCGAGGGTCAAGGGCAAACTGCTTCGTCGTCGTCGTTGTCGATAACTACTAGGTAATCCAACCCAAGCTGTGTACTCGGAGTTCGGTGCAGGAAAGGAAAGTTCGAGCTTCACAGACCCAGTTTGCTTGATGGGAGTTGTTGAACTGATTGAAAGTGCCGGTCACGGTTGGTCGCCAAACGGACACGGGCCAGCATACAAGAGCGGACGACCAACTGAAGGGCCGCCCTGTGCAGTGAGTGCTATGGTGGCCTTCGGACAAGCTCCAGAAGAGCTTCACACATCTAGGCATTATGATTGGCCGGATTGTCTTGAATGGGTCCACTGCGGCTCGTCACTGACGTTGTTGATGTGTTGCCTGTCGACGACGTTCCAGGCAGGCTCGAGGCAGGGTACTTAGGTACTTAGGTAGGTATACCTTACAATACAGTACTACAAGTGTAGGGTAGACAACATCCCTACAACCAACGTAGACTTTCACAACTGAGTTCGTCTTGGGAGACATGGCTCCTATTTTACGTCGGTGTTGACAACCGTCGCCTATATAATTTCTAGTCTTCGCTTTCTGTCTGTATTCCCAGGATGGCATCATTACGGGGTTGAATATGCATATGCCTCCTGAACCCTGCATGATCTGGCATATCACGTCAAATCTTCACTTGCTGTTAACTCATTGAATTTGGAGCTTGTTTCTGTAACCCATAAAGGATTGATGCTTCAACCAAAGCCATATTATGGGTAGCTCATGCCAGGGATAAACATACAAGTATCCCGAGATGAATGTATTTCCTCCGTCTCATCCAGTACGCCACCCTTTCCATTTCCCACCCCAAAAGAATTACCACATCCATGCAAACAAGCGAGACCCGAAACCTATGTTCATTCTGGTCTGAATACCCTTCCATTAGAGATCCCCCTTGCCAGGCATGACCTTGGCGGCCTGTACCGCGCTCATCTTGGTGATCCACTGAGCATTGGGCTGCACCTTGCGAACCGTCCTGAGCTCGTCACTAGAGTAGCCAGGGATACGGATGTTGTAGGTACGCTCCAAAACAAGCTGGATATCGCGGATCTCAAGAACCTTGGATCCTCTCTCTTTCGCATTGCGGGACGCCGCGTGGAGCACACTCTCTGTAAAGCTATCGGCGAGACCAAGGACGGACTAGAAAGGAATGACACGTTAGCTGATTGTGTGGTGACAAGTTTGTGAGTTTGCTTAAGGGGGTTAAAGAATGACCGCGGACTTCCGCAAAAAGAAGAAGCAAAAACAGAGGATTGTTCAGATTGTAAACAACGTACCTCCTCAACCTCAGGTGTCAAGAGATTTCCGTCTTGGCCCTCAGCCGTGCCACCGCACACCTGTCGGACCAGCTCGTCCAGCTTCTTCTTGTTCAAAACCCTCTCACCCTCGCCCTCAAGCTGATACGCCGGGGTCTTCTGCAAGACGGGCTGATTCATGACGCCGACACCGGCTGTGCCACCGCTCAGAGTCGGGCGACCAGGCGGGCCTGCAACGGGCGTGGGAATCTGTGTCGCCTTTTCCGGGAGCGTCTTGGCGATGGGAAACTTGGAGGCCTGAATGGTTTGGGGCATAGCGTTGGGGTGAGCGTGGGGATGTCCTTGAGTTGAGCCCGCCGCGCTGCCTGGAGCAGTGGTGGGTGTGCCGACCGGCGCAGGTATGTTAGTAGCGGGAATGGAACCGGCACGTTGCTGTCCAGCGAGGTTCATAGCCGCCGCGTGCGAGAGCGGCTGGTTGGGTGTCCGCTGCGGAGTCTGATGTCGCTGTGAGATTTGAGTGGGCGTTCCAGTCGCTTGTACCCCAACCATGCCAGAAGGAATCGCCGTGTTGATGGGTGCAGGTGTAGGAGTGGGCTGCGAGCCAGGCTCGGTTTTGATATGGTTCTGGGCTGGCTGCTGCTGTTGCTGTTGTTGCGGGATAGCAGCCTGGGTGGCCGGAGTTTGGGTGGCGGGTGCCAGATGTGGTTGCGCTTGTGGCTGCCCTTGAGGTTGTCCCTGTGGTTGAATGGGTGTTTGCGCTGGTTGGTGTTGTGGTTGTTGCTGTTGCTGCGGTTGTTGCTGTTGCTGCTGTTGCTGAGGCTGCTGTGGTTGCTGTTGTTGATGTTGCATCTGTTGATGCTGCTGCAACTGATTGGCAGTGATTTGAGGTGAACGAGTGGGCGCAGGGGATTGTTGCGCTCCTTGTTGTGGAGGCATTCCGCCCACACCCGCCATCTGTCCAGCGTTTTTGGCCGCTTGGATGGCGGCGTTCATGGCGGCTGTGGATGGTGCCATTCCAGCACCCAAGGCTTGCCCTTGACCTTGAACCTGTGTTGGTCCTTGCTGAGGGGCCGCTTGAGGTTGTTGGCCTTGTTGTTGCGGCCGTGCTTGGTTCTGCATCGGGGTGGTGTTCGCCGCAATCGGGACGGCCTTGTTCCCAGACCCCGGCATGGCAATCGTCAGCGGGGTGTTATGAGGAGGCTTCACTATTGTCTGACGAAGTTGGTTGCAATAGTTCTTGGCGTCATTGAACGACTTCTCCGCTATCGCTTTGCGGTTCAGCAAATTCTGTTGCTCCTCGGGCGTAAAAGGCTTCTGGTTGTTTCTCCGTTCTTCCATGAGGCTCAAGAGATTTACCAGTGTCGTGTTGCTGCTGTTTAGAGTCAGAAACGCCCTCATGTACTTGTTCCTGGTTTCAGATTCCCATTTCTTGTGTTCCTGGGCGGGTATGGTTGGAGGTATATTGAATTGCAATGCCGTGACATGTTGGAGGACAACCTGGGGGATGGCAGGCTTGTTTGGCTGTCCCGCTGCTGTAGCAGGCTGTCCAGGACGGGCAACGCCTGCGGTGTTCTGGGGTGTGCCAGGAGCAATCTGCGACGGTATCGGCGATTGCTGAACATTACCGAGCTGGGGAGTTTGTCCACCTTGTTGTGGCAGTTGCTGCTGGCCCTGTTGCTGCTGCATTTGTGGCTGTTGTTGCGGTTGTTGCTGCTGAAGTGGTGGTTTAGCCTGGCCTTGGTGATGGGGCGGTTGTTGTTGTTGTTGTGGTTGTTGTTGCTGATGAAGCTGGTGTTGCTGTACTTGGCCGGGCTGTTGTTGGCCAGGCTGTTGTTGCTGTTGTTGTGGTGGCTGTTGTTGTTGTTGCGTCTGTCCCTGAGGTTGTCCCTGAGGTTGTCCTTGGGGCTGTACTTGTTGATTTTGCTGCTGGTGCTGCTGTTGTTGCTGCTGTTTTTGTCGCATCTGCTGCATTTGCTGCAGATAGCGCTGCTGTTCCTGCTTCTTCTGGTTCAACTTGTCTTGCAACATCTTGCTAAACTGCTCGATGCTACGCCTAGCCCCGAGCTTCTCCGCCGATCCTTCGGGCGATTCCTCAAAAGTCTTCCAGAATGTGGCCAATCCGTTTTCGTAGCTAGTTTTTTCCTCGGCGGTCAGGAACGCGATATTTCGCATGAACTCGGGCCGCAAGAGTGCCGGTTGTCTGGGAGCAGCACCGGGAGGTTGAGTGTTTGGCTGCGCCGGCCCTTGGCTGGGCTGGCCTTGACCGGGCATTTGATTCATTGTGGTTGCTTTGTTCACCGAAGTCTGATGTCCCGGATTCTTTCAGACCGTGATCGCACAATCGAGAATATTGGGCAGAGGACCGACGACAGAGCCTCGACGTTGCTGCGTAGGCGTGTGGTGTGGGGGCGAAGGTCGATGGCAAGATGAAAAGTTGCAAATATATAGGTACGTTTGCGTGGCTCCGTCGATGTAGTAGAAGGTACGTTATTTAACTAACGGCCCTGCGCAGCTCAGCAATCAGCAGGTGTTTGCAATGGAATACGTGCCCAGGGCTTTGGTACCTTCACACGAGCTGCTGGAGAATAGGATGCCTCTATTGATTGTGGCTTTGGAGTTTTGATGGAAGATCACGGGAAGATATTGTTGGCGGTTGGACTTCGATCCGAACTGAAGTTGTTCTTTGGATGAATGGCATGCTCAATCGGCTCTGCCACTACTTATCCACTGCACTGACCTGCCCTTTGGGCATGTGGCTTGAACGCAGGCATTCATGCTCTGTTGAGCGCGCAGCGCGACGTGTTCATTGGCTAAGCCACAGTTTCTACGGCATCTTCCCTGCAGTCAGTGTAACAAGGATGTGGCGCTCCTCCCTAGAAATGGCATCAAAGAGCTAGGTGTACAGTCCTCAGCTCACTTACAACGTTGAGTCGGACATAACTGCTAGTTGTTGATTCTGAAGAGTTGGTCAATTTCTTAAGTGTAACTCCTATTCGATTATTGAAAGATCGTCATTTTGTGTCGTTGTATCCTCCAAGCGTTAAGTGAACGCTCATCCCACGCTGTCTTCAACTTCACAATCATGGTCAATCAGTCTTCCCAATCACGTCGCCTGACCACTCTGTGAGACTCGTTTGTGATATTTGTTTTAAAATGGTTGTTTGCCGGCATGTCAGTTGACTTCATATTCCTTTAGCCCAGATGAAATGACATTAGCTCGCCAAAACAGATCGTGCGCTTTTGACGGATCTTGTAGAGATTGTAAGAGAGAGTTGATTCAAAGTTCACTCATACAGGAATAGAGAGCCATAATTTATGCCTCCTTGCTTTGACTATGTTGTACATGAACCAGAGTTCATATCCTTGATACCCCGAATGCCAAGCGATTCTGTAGTAGCAGAAAAAGACAACGCTTAGATGTTCCAAGTACAATACCACTCCCCTCGTAGCCGCCCAAATCCCTAGCTCATCACACTTGGTTCCCTAAACATGCCATCAAACTCAACAAACGCTGATTCATTCCCTCTGTGCAATCCCAGTATAGAGCCATAAGCTTCTTTGGACGCCATAAGAAACAACTCTTTAGTCGTGAAGGTCTCCGTACTCCAAAGTAAATCACCATCTTCGAAACCACGCCGAGTTGTAAAATGCAAAGCCGTTGCGCTGTATGAAGTTGATCATTTGTCCTTGTCCATTTTGTACTGCTCATGGGAAAGCGAACAGCCCCAAACTTTGCCTCCTATTCTTTTTTTTGTTTTGGTGTATTATCTTCATGGTCATCATCATCACTCGTGTCTATACGGGTATCCATAACTGCCAAGTGCTTCTCTCTATACCATGTTCATTAGTTCGTTGTTGTCATCTAGTCGTCAAAGCAGTCTTCAGTTGATGCATGTCATGAGGTGTTGTGACCGAGAACCGCTGTCTGTCCAAGCCCACAAACAAGAATTCTGTCGTTACTCCATCGATCAAGGCGAATCAATCTCCATGACGCATTCATAGTGGGGGTGTTCCCTAGACCGCATCGATTGATCACCGAGAATCTCCTCATTGCTCGAATCTGGCTCCTCGATCTCGTCGATCCTCGGCGGCGGCAGCGGATCCGAGACTTGCACGCTGCTGCGGCGGCGGTCACCGACTCTCCGGTAGATACGGCGTGCGCCGGAGGACCCAAAATCATCCGCACTGAAGAACCGTTTGCAGTCTCTAGGGTCATCGCGGTCTGAGTCGCTTCCGATGCTCTCGCTGAAGGTCCGCTTGCCAATGCTGCCCGACGTCATCCGCTTGCGTCTCCGCTCCTCTCGCTGCCGCCTCAGGATCTCGCGGTGCTCGGCCTCTTCCATGTCGGTTGAGTCTGAATCGTCACTGCAGTTCAGTTGTCCGAGGTTGTACATGACGCTTTCATCAACCTCTCGATGACGTCGGGACCGAGACCGACTTCGTTCCGATTCGGCGTACTCAATAGCATCCGGATAGATTACAGGAACACCGGCGTTGTCATTATCATTATCGCTGCCGTCGCTCATCTCCTCAATAATGAGGTTGGGATTTGTCACAATGCGTCCCGGGCGAGCTGATGGTGGGAACGCCGATTGTGACGGCGACGGCGACGGCTGCATGGATGGCGGAAGACTATCTGGACCCGGATCGTCGTCTGAATCAGAGGAAGTTGCCGAGGAGGTGGTGCGAGACTGTGGTGAAAGCTGATCGGGGTCTGTTGCTCGGGCAAAACTGAAGCTTGGGCCGTAGAGGCCGCCCGGCCGGAGTACGGCGATGGACGGCATTGGTGGAGGGGAAAACTGTGGCGGCATTGGCCCGTGCCAAGGACTGCCCTTCCGGCTCGAGCCCGGGGACAATGGTGGGGACGAGGGTGCCGCACCTTGGGGTATGACTTTGATATTAGGGTTTGACGGCCACATGGTAGGCTCGGCAGGTTGATGCTGGTGAAGTTTGGTGAATTGTTTGATGTTGCAATCTTTTACAAAAAAAAGAAGAAAAAAAAAAAAGGGACGAGCCCGGATTTGGTTGAAAGTGGTTCGCCGTAGCTGTGGGGTATGATTGCCGCTATGACGATACCGCCCCGGTGGTAAAAGATCTTGGACGCCGGGGTGAACAAGTGGTACACAAGTAGAAAGAGTATACACTAAGTGAAAGTTGGGTCAGGGTGTTAAAACCCAAAGAAGAAACCTCCGACTAGGAGACTGAAATGGCCTTTGGCTGCTGGTCATGATAGTGCTGTCGGATGTAAATTGAACCCAAGCTTCAGCACGGGGGTGGCGAGGATGCAAAGTCCAATGGAAATAGCGACCAGTAGAGGACGGATGCTGTTTGGTGTGAAGAAAGGATGATGGAGAGATATACCATGTATGTCTCAATGGAAATCTCGTTTTTGCCCGTTCCCAGAGCTGCGGGAGGATGGCAAGGTAATGCCTGCGGTTGGCTTGTTTTCAACGGGGACGGGAGCCGTAGCCTATGGGAAGATGCCGACAAACATTGCCCACGGTGTAAGCTGGGATCGGCTATCTTCGAAAGCTTATCCTGAAAAGGCGCAGGATAGCCGCAGGGTGAACGATGACACTATACGGAGAAGTGTTATCTCCCGAGCGGCTTTTATGGTAGGAAAGGAGAAAGTATGTCTGCCAGTCTGGATGTATGTGTGGACTGCAACGCAACTTGGTCACTATGTATTCGGTTACGGGCTCCATTTTCCAGGTAAGGTACAGTACCACGCTTTGGATGAGCTCTTGAAAGTCAGCATATAACATCTGGGTAAGTATTGTGTTACGAGCGAGAAAACCCGCAACATGTGCTCGTCTGCCACCACTCGGCTCGGCGTCCCGGGAGAAGACAAGTGCTATCGGGGAGGATAGTGGCCACTTGGGCAGCAATGCTCCGGGTACCCCTGACTCTTCCCCGGATTCTGTACCGAATGAGTCCATGTCGGGATTGTGAAACAAATGCAGACGAGAAACATCAATGGCAGGTAGGGCCGACTGTCGGCGGAGAGAGGGAGTGTGATAGATACCTTGGACCAAGAAGAAAAACCCCCTTTCCCTCGTATTTAGTCTAGCTAATGCCGTGCCCAGCTGGTAGAGCAATGTCTCAACTTGGGTACTGCATCCACTTGTCAGTCGTGTCAAGCGTCTATACGCAAAGGCGCAAGAAAGCGCAATTCAGGGACCAGGGCATTATGTGATAGATAACATGGCCAGCGCAGTTGCCTCCAGGGGTTCTCGCGGGCGAGTGAGCGAGTTGAGCGGATGAACAAGGGAGATTACGGAACGAATCCTGGGGAGGAATGGTCGACACAAGATAGAAACTGCGTACCTACAGCAGTATGTACGTAGGTTACATGGCCAATGAGGGCGACAAATTGGTGTAGCGGATGCATCACAAGGCAGAGGCAGCACCGTACGCGCGGTAATGTATATACATCCGGTACAGACGACATAAAAGTCGCATGGAAGTGCAGGAGCAGAAAGGGCGGGGAGGAAGACGCGGACAAGTGGATTGTGGGGTTGTGTGCTGTGGGAGTGGTGAACTTCTGTGTTTGAGGCTTGAGGTTGCATCACAGATCGTGGATTCCACCGATGCGTGCCCACGCCCGTTGAGCATTGACAAGCACGCATTGGCGCAGACTTTGAGCGGAACTGTGCCATTTCACACCTTGATGAGGGCTCACTTGAGCAAACATTTGGGATCGAATACATAAGGTATACTGGGACAATACCGGGAGGTGTGATGTGTACTGTAATGCCATGGGATGACAGAGGAAGGCAAGTGGTGATAGTCAAAGGAAACGGATGAAGTTCCCGTTCCCGTTCCCGCCGCGCTCACCGGGGGCGAAACACGTGGAAAGGAAGACTACCTCTACGCTCGGCAGCCCGCACCTGGCAGTCCGCTGCTGTACAATCTAACCCTGGTATGTTTGTTAGTTTGGTACAAAAAACGCCCATTTCCACTCTCAGACTACTAGAATAGAAAAGCATCCGGGTTTCAAGCGAACGGGGACTACTGTCTTATATGTTTTTGGACTTTGAAGGCCGTGGAAGACGACGGGGAGAGGCATAAGAAGGCTTCTGTGGCGTTTTCTACCCTGGCTATTGTCCCATGACGCTTCAAACGGAGGCCAGTTTCTGTCTTTGGAGGCCAATGAGAGTTCCAGATTTTCCCTGTTCAACCCATGACCGAAGAACCAAACTAACAAACAAACCAGTATTGAATTGTACATACACCGCCGAATGCCATTGTCCACTTTGATTGTCAGCTGCTAAACTCAGAAGTCGGACACGGTCAACGTGAAACGACGGAGGACGGGGATGCCGGCCGTCCATTCGGAAATCGGAAAGGCTGGCGGGTGCCCCTGGATGCTGAGTGTACAGTAGAAACCCCTGCTCGTGCATGCACCTGATAATGCATAACACCCTCTAAATGCTAGCAGCTGCCAGTCCGCAATTATTTAGTATGAGTAAGTGCTAAAATGCATATTTGCACATCTGGCGGCCCGTTAAATTGGTGTATATGCACTTACTGGTGGGGGTTTTAGGGGTGTTTAGGGCCTAGCAGCAATGCCAAAACCCCCTAAAACCCCCCAAAACTCTTATGCTGGGGCGGCGGGAAAATCTTGGCATGGGAATGTAAATGCATGAGCCCTCTAAATGCATGAGCCCTCTAAATGCATGCAAACTGCCATCCTGGAGTACATGCACGAACAGGGGTCTCTACTGTAAGACAGTGTAGAGCTGTAGTGTAGAAGCTACCCAACCCTGGCCCACATGCCTGGCTGGAATGCGGGGGTGGGGCTGTTTGTTTACACTCGGTGCACCAAGTCCCGACTACAGTAACCTACAGGACATCACCCGACTGGCGACAGCTTCACTTAGTTTAGTGCCTCCAACCCAACAACAAACGACGCCATAAAGAAAAAAAAATACGCCAGATAGTTGAATCGCCTAGACGGCCGCACATTATCACATTCATACAACCTCTTCACAGTTATTAGGACGAACATTCCACACGTGGCGCGTCGCAATTCTTGAACCATGTCGCTCCTCCTGGCGCACTTGGAGCAAATCTCCACCTCATGCGAAAGCATCGACAGCCTTCCGTAGGTCACTTCCACAAAGTCTTGATGGCGTTTTCCTCATCATATCGCGTCTTGATTCTCTAACAGCCAGTCCACCCTTCGGACATCATCACTAGGTTTCCCCCTCCCAAAATCTTTACCAACGCCCTCCTCTCGAACCACGACATTACGTCCTTGATTCGCGACACCGAAGCCCACGAGCGCGCCCTCTTCTCCGTCCCTCCCCCTCCCCCAAAAGCCACCACCCAGGCGCCCGATCCACCGAAGCCTGCGAACCGACGACAAACCGTCTTCAACGTTGCCGGCGGCGAGGTCACCACAGGCCCACCAGCCAAGTCGACGCGCAGCAGCGGCCCGACGCGCCGTAACACAGCCGTGGCCGCCGTCTTGGGCGGAGATCTTCACGCACAAATAACGCGACGCAACCCTGCCGGAAGTGGAGGCGGCGAACTCGACATCGAAGTGCTACTGCGCGGTGCCGAGAAGCTCTGTACGGTGTACCCCTTGCCTGGCGCGCTGGAGAGGATACCGGCCCAGCGGCGAAAGAATGAACAGTTGATGAACACGTTGGCGTACTATGAGACCAGGGTGGCAGAGCAACAAGAGGCTTTGGACAGGTTGAACCTAGACCGTTATGCGGAAGAGGAGGAAGAAGAGGCTGGCAGAGAGAGCGCGGCTGCTGCCGACGTCATGACGGAGGAAGATCTGAGAAGGGAAGAGGAGGAGATACGCGAACTGGATCGAAGAAGGAGGGAGTTGCAAGCGAGGTTGCGAGCGACGGAGCGCGATCTCAATGGATTGATGGAGTTTTGAGCGCAGTATCTGCTCAAGAGTTGTCCGATACACGCAAAAGGCTACCAAGGTTATTCGAACTACGACGAAAAGAAGACTTTGCGATACCAGATTTTCGGCTGTCATATATCATTACCCAGGGTTTGTCTTGACCAGCCACCAAATCCTCAACAAGTCGGCCCATCGGACGGTCTTTCGCTAACATCCGAAGTAGCGGCCTTGACACGCAGGAACTCTTGAACAAATGTCTCGGGATCCTGCGCCCCGCTGAGTTCTGACTGTCCGTTGATGGTAAAGTTGGGAACTCCATGGATTCCCTTCCTTTGCGCCTCTGCAACCTCGCGATCAACCTCCTCGCCACCTCTATCACTGGCCAGCCAGCTCTCGACTTCCGCTCCATCCAAACCCGCGCGCTTGCCAGCAGCAATCAGCATGTCATTCGACGACACATCGCCATCTTCTTCATGATGCAACTGAAACAGGGCCGCAGCCGTCTTATTCTCAACCTCGTTGGACTTGGTTTTCGACAACTGAATCAACCGATGCGCATTGCGGGTGTTGCCGATCCTGCCGTTCAACGAAAAGTTGATGCCTTCGCCTTCGCCAATGGCCTTGAGGCGCGCGTGGACCATGGCGAGGCGTTCGGGGCTGCCCAGCTTCTTGCCGAGATATGCCTTGGGGTCGATACCGCCTGTTTTGGGCAGCGAAGGGTCGAGGTAGAAGGGGTGCCAGGTCACGGTGAAGGTGTCGTTTGCGCCGCCTGGGATGACGTCCTTGTAGAGCTTGATGGCGCGCTCGAGACGAGCTTTGCCGACGTAGCACTGGAAATTGTTTTAGTGTAAGTGATGCATGTTTGATGGGCGATGAAGCCAAGGTAGCCAGCCATACCCAAGGGCAGATGATGTCGGAGACTACTTTGATCTGAAAGTGTGTCATGTTGTTGGCTGGGAGAATGAGTTGTCGGATCACAGATACTCGATGTTGAAGTCGGAGGATTATTGTTGGCGACTACTTCAACTCGTAGGCCTCGAGGTTATGATACTTATACTACTCAAAGAACATGTCGTGCTACCCCCTCATCCTTCCCGAAATTTGGAAGCCGGAGGGGTTGTAAAGAAGGCGAGAAATACAGGGGGCTGCTTATAAATCGACCTCGGCTTGGAATGCCTTCGTCCCAAGCACTCTCTCCAGTCGATGGAATTCCACAAGTTATGAGACCATCTAAAATAAATGAATAACACATTGTCTCTCGTATCTTCTTCATGTACTACAAACTGTCAACATAGCCTAGTGGGGGACAAAATCCCATCTGCTCCTTAAAGCGGGGGCGTCCCAGCCGAAAGAAATCCGGGGAATGGCATCGTGGCGTTTTGGTGTGTTGTAGTGTAGGTAGGTATGTACACTACCTACAGTTAAAATAAATACATTGACAGATGATGTCGGCGTCCTTCATCAAGGTCACACAAAAGCCATGATCGGCAAATTGCCCTCGGCACGTGTCAGGTACGGGGCTTTGATGATCTCCGCGCGGTCGGGCGAAGTGGAAGCTTGGGCCATGCTCCATTCGTTGCATTGAATTCCCAGCCTTCCGGTATACTGTCTCCTACAAGTTTTTCTTTTTCCGATCAGCTCTTTCGGGAGTTGGAAATTCTCAATTCCCAGCTGGAGGGTGAGCTGAAAGACCGGATGGAGCGAGGGAGGCCAGCCCATCCCAGCCTCGGGGAAGACTTGGAGTAGAAAAGATGAGACATCTTTACTTGTGCAGTGCCTTTTTGAAGATGGACCGTGCATTTCCAGTCTCTTTAGCCGCCTTGCTGAGTGGAGTTCAGAGTTCAGACGAAACGGCGCCAAACTCAACACAGCGATTGCCCTGCCAAGAAAATGGAGCTTGGTCCCTCGTCGCATCCAATCCTTCGTCATCATCACTGCCACTGTCCGGACAACGGGCTCTGCCCAAGCTCCAAGTAAATAAAACCGGGAGGTTGGGGAAGACTGACGGAGACCCTTCCACTTGTCCAAGGGTGTGAGGCCGCTCAGTCCCAGCCAGTCATCATGGTACGTATGTATCTCGACGTGCCTGACGTTGCAAGCAATACTTACGGGCTCGATACAAGCAGGTACCGACCGACCGACCGCCCAAGTGAAAAGCAGGGAATTGAATGGCTTCAGCACTTTTGTCCACTTGCGAACGAGAATCCCAAAATAGGTAGCCTGGCGAAGTGGGCTGGTGGGCTGTTTAGTTTTTGGAAGGTTAAGTTTGCAGTGAGAAGTACCTACTGTAGCGAGTGTGAACTGTGAAGACTTCCAACTGTTGCCCGGAAACCAGCCACCGCTTTTCCGCAACGAACGCGAGCGCGCTGCCTGTTGAGAGGCAGGTCACCGGTCCCACTGAGCTGCACTCTTGCACGACTTGACTTGCACAAGTCTCTCGTCTCACGCTTGTTCTCAACCCTTCGTTCCTGAGGTGCCCTCATTCACGGTCCTGAAGTCTTTTCCAAGCCAACGGGAGACTGTACGTCACCCAACACACAGCAAGACACGATCCCTCTTTTCTCGATCGTGCATCCTTTTGGCCTTCTACCACCACCAGCCTGTCTTTCTGACCTCCACCGTTTGTCCCATACTAGCAGCTACAGCCCGGGCTACATACATTTCAAGCTGCCGTGTACCTGACCTTCACCGAAGCGGGGACCCTATACCTCTACCCTACTTAGCTTGGTTCCTTCCAAGCAGCACGGGGAGAGAAAAAAAAAAATAAACCCTTGGATTCAGGTCCGGTCGTGGTGCCTTGCAGATTCATCCTGCAGCATTGATTCACCTAGTGAGACAAGGGAAAAAAAAAAAACAAGGGACAGAATCCAAAGGGACGAAAGGTCGAACCTTGTGCCTGGCCCCTTGCCTGTTTCTGTTTAGGTCCAGTCCGCCTGCTTTCTTGCTTTTGCATCTGGCAGGAACCTGAACACACAGTCTTCTGCGTCCCCTCCACCAACCAACCCACTGCGGTGCCTGCCAATCCATACCTACCTACATTCTCACACATACACCTACTCAACTTGTTGCGCATTCCCGCATTCCTCAGCTACCTACGCGCCCAAACAAGCACACCAAGAGACGAGACGAAACGGATACCGACAATTCAAGACAAGGAAACACGTGGGGAAGAAACGAAGACTTCTGGATTGCTTCGCGCATTCCAAGGACCCCATCCTACCAACTACCTACGACTTGTACCTCACCCAGCAAGTGAGGTAGACCGCCTTCCATTCCAGCAAGCCAGACATCGTTTTACGGCGCAACCCTTCTCCAAGTCGACAACGACGAATTCGAAAAGAATCCAAACGACGTATTAGCCTTGAGGGCAATCTTGTTCCGTCGGCCATCGCGCAAAACGTCCCCAACCGTCCCTCTGGCGCAAACCTCGCGGAGGGCGGGTGTGGGTACCAGGCGCGGTATCTAATAACGAAAGGGAAGAAGGGATTAGGGATAAAAAGTTAAACAAGGAAGCAACATACATACAACAAGATGGCTAGCGGGTTCCAATTAGGGTGGTACCGTATGTCTTCCTCTCTCCACCATCTCCCCCATCCTCAGACATGTTGTAGGCAACGGAATGAGCTAACACTATGATAATGAACTTTAGGGTGGCTACCGTTCCTGGGATATCACCACGTCTTGATGATTCTCATCATGATCACAATTATCCTATTATGTAAGGAAAATCCCGTCTATTCTCCTAAATAGAAAATCAAAACTAACACACCGTACACAGCCCTCCTCCTAGCAGGCTGCTCGTCCTCATCACCCGTCATCCCCGATATCTTTCTATTGTCGCTCTACTACGAAAACTACCAAGCCATCCCCGACACCTCGCAGGTGCACTACGACGTCACCACCGCCATCGCCAACATTGTGGACGGCGCCCGTCTCCAGGCGCGCGTTGGCTTCTTTGGCATCTGCGTTAATCCCGATGGCGGGTCGTGGTTGTGCAGCAACAATGCGACAACGCTAGCGAACGAGATCTCGGTTGATCAGGATCCTTTGAATCTGGTCTGGTTGGCCGCGCAGTTCAAGGATATGATTGTCTTTCCATACTTGATGTAAGAACCAAATTTCGACTGTGCTTTTGTCGCGACACGAGCAGACATGCTAACAAGGGATACAAAAACACAGCATCATCGCAATCATCTTCGCCTTCGTTTGCCTCCTCCTCCTCGCCACCTTCCCCGGCTGGCACGAAGAGGAAGACTCGGAGGGCTCCGAGCGCGAGGTCAAACCTTTCCCTTCGCGGCCTGTTAGCCAGGTCGCCCTCGTCATCATCTTTATCGCGACCATTTTTGTCTTAGTCTCGGTGCTGTGGCAGCATACGGCGTCGGTGGCAGCATCCGTCATCGCTCAGGACTTTGGCAACGGGAGCGTCATGGCCGGCGTGGGCAGCTCAGCCATGGTGTTGGGCTGGTTCAGCTTCACGCTGTTGATCATTGTCACGATTGGTTTGCTGGTCATGATATTGAGTATGAGAGTCTTGAGTGAGCTCATGGCTTAAGGCCGGTAGATATTGGGTTTGATGAGGTTTGTCGTTGGACAAAAGGGGGAGGCGCATTTTCTTTTTCTCGTTCTTCTCATCGCACTATATGGGAGGCTGGGCAAAGGCGCTGATAGAGATCTTGTTTTTTTTTCTTGTTATGATGTTATTTTCTTGATTTCTTGCTTTCGCTTACGACGATACCTACCACCCACCACCACTGCAGCTCACACGCACGCTCAACCACACATAAACACCATACAACGACACAACAAAACAACAATCAACCTAACGGACATAAAACGACCCGAGACGAAAGAAAGGACGATCGCAAATGGTATTTAAGGAATGGGTGGACTTATGGATGGATGGATGAATGGATGGGATGAACATGAAGAAGAGACGAGAGAATGAAGATATATAAACGAACGACCGTCTATCAAACAACAAACAAATGATCAAGGAAGGGAGGGAGGAGACGAGCATGGATGGGGCTGACTGGTTTACGAAACCAACATGAATGTACTATTCCATTCATCTGGCTGTCCAACCTTATATGACTGGGGTGAATCTTCTTATTCATGGTTCAGGATACCTGGAATGACGGAACTACCTCTAGGCGGGTTGTTCATATCACATGTATGATGCATGAAGGAAAGGAAGGAAATTGGCGGATATTTGGCTTTTTGTTGTTTTGAAAGAATGGTGGTCTTTTTCGATATGAGGTTGTTAAGGATAATCAAATGTAAAAAAAATTCGATAAGGATTTTGGTTTGGTTTAGTTTGGTCGTAGAAACATTTTTCATCGTGAAGTGGCACGGCGATGATCGATGTTTGATCTAGTTTTATACTAATATACTAACGTTGAATGGATGATATCAATAGACTGAACTAGGTCTAGGCTTGGGATTGGACTTGGGTTTGGTCATGTTGTTAGGCTTTTAGTTATGTTTTTGGAATCTGGAAAAACCAGAGCGTAACGCTTAATTTCTGTTTTGGCTTGAAACTTCATCGGAAATTGAACTGGAGCTACCTCTAGGTACTTACTGGAAATCGCTTTGATGCAGGTTGAAATTCTTAGACTGTATTCATCCGACTCGAAATTCGGAGAGTGAGTGGTGATGTGCTAACTAAGTGACATGTGATGGGTAAAAGTCCAAGAAAGAAAGACTTGACCTAGTGGCCTGAAACATCGTTATATCTTGTAGTTATATTATCATCATAGGTATTCGTTTGAATAAAAAGGGGTCAAGTACCTCCTAGTCAATCCATATCTTTACTGGGTGCGTGATTACCTAGACTAGGCGCAGTTAGTTGCATTGAATTTCAGCTATCTACCTATTTATGTATATTCTGATGAGCAAGGTGGAAAAAAAAAAAAAAAAAAAAAAAAAAAAAAAAAAAAAAAAAAAAAAAAAAGGCTGGAGGCAATATGCGTCTAAACAATTCATTCCATTCTCTAGGTGGGTGAGCCCCTCCCTCCTACCTTTCAAGTTCCCAGGTAACAAACGATTCCCATCTCTTATAGCACTTCCAATTTAAACCATACTTTTCTCTACCAATAATCTACCAATATATACATACCTATCTATCCTCCTACCACACACCTCCCTACCTAAACTATACCAAACCCATTCACTCCATCCTCACCAACCCCCACCCCTTGACCCCCTGCCCCCAACTCTCCACCACCTTTCCAACCCACTCCTCCGCCCCCTCTCTTCCACCCACTACATCCTCCACCGCCTTCCTTACTTTTGCAGTCTCACCAGCCTCCCCTTCAGTAGTACCTTCAGCACCACCAAAAGTCCAATCCAGCATCTTATCCAACCACCCTCCCCCGCCCAACTGCTCCTTCAGCTTCTGTATATGCCCCTTGACCTCTGTGATGGTCTTGGCCGCCATGGCATCCAACGCCTTGAGTTCCGCCAACCCGTCCTTGTGCAGCGTACTCTTACCGGAGCGATCGCGGGCCAGTTCGCGGTCGTTCCAGGCCTGGACAAAGGCGGCGCTGTGACGCATGGCCAGGGCAGTTTCGCGCACGTGCGAGAGGGTGTGCATGTCGGTGAGGGAGTAAAAGGTTTCGTCTACTCCGGTGGTGCTGTTGGTAGAAGAGGATGAGGAGGAAGAGGAGGAAGTGAAGCGGGCGCGTAGTCCCGTGAAAGCGATGCGGATGGACGAGGTGATGACGCTCATGGTCTCGGATGGATAAGGGTCAGCGCGCGTGGTGGAGAGGGCGGTGAGCACGGCTGCGGAGAGGAGGGAGATGATGGTGTAGTAGGTAGCTTCGGGTGAGGTGAGGGCGGCGGGAGTGGTGGGACGGTGGATGAAGCTGGTGAGCGAGTTGTTGAGTTGGGAGAGCGTCTCGAAGGTGTAGGCGCGCTCTTTGAGGGCCGCTTCGCTGGGCTTGTAAGGGCGGTGGTCCTTGGGCGGTTTGTGGTGGATCAGATCGAGGTATTGCTCGGAGAGGAAGGAGAGGTGAGCGCGCTCGTTCTGGCGGGAGGTTGTTAGCATTTGGGAAGAGCAAAAGCAGATGAAAGGGTTTGGAGAAAAAGTCTTACGGAAAGCTCGGGGCCGATACGAAGGAACTCCTGGATGGGAGGACCGTGGGGACTTTCGAGGTTGACGAATGAACCGTAGTCGGTTTTGTTGAGTAGGGTAGTCGTGTCGTCGATGTTTTCTGGGAATCAAGTTAGTTTTGCTTAGGGGAAGGAGATTGAATCAAGATCAAACGTACCAGTGAGTGCCAAATCGCCAATCTCACATTCGATCTTTCCGCCAAAAGCACGAGTTGCCCGTCGTTCTTCCACAATGGACATCATGAGCGTGCAGCTTCTCCGCAGCTTGCTGTCGAACTCGGTCATCTCCAGGATACTGCTGTAGCTCCCAGAGCTAAACGCGTCCCAGATCCGCAAGGGGCAGCTGCTGTGCAGACTGTTGTTGTAGTATGAACGCAGCGGCTCCATCAATGGGCGGGTACCGGTGAACAGACCTGGCGACAAACTTGATATCCTGTCAAAGAAGAGAGGGCTGAGGGAGTCCTGGATGGTGCGCTTAACTTCCAGAGGAGTCCAGATCTGGTAGGCGTAGGAAGCGCATCCGAGGAGGAGGTAGAGTTGGGCCAGTAGGAGGCGCAGTGCGACATCACTAGGCGTAACCTTGAGCTGGGTGTCCAAGACGAGAACCGCCTGGAGGAACAGCGATGGGTTCACATCCCGCAGCGGTGCTGGAGCAACATCCGAAGTGCGAGGGTGCAAGCCAGAGAGCTTGAGGATCGAGTTGCCCATGACAAGGGCCAAGTCAATACGAGGGTCCTTGTCGAGACGGGGGATTGCTGCCAACAGCTCCGAGTCGTCGACTATCTGCTGGTATATTTGGGCGGCCTCGGTCACCACGCTCCTCAAGCAGCTCTCGCATGGTAGAGACGTAAGGGTGGAGCACAGACGGCATTGGTATGGCTTGTCCTGCTCTTGGCCGTCCACCACGGATGGGTTATGGGAGAGTGTTTGTGTGCAAGTGGTGAGCAGGTAGCGCAGCTTGCAGATTAGTGACTTGAGAATAACCTGACTAGACTTCTCAGACTTCCATGAAAAAGGTTAGTGTTACGTTGCCATGTCAAATGATACAAAAAGGGCACTCACCTCTTCCAGCATCTTGGGCAGGACTTCCTCCATGAGTCCCTTGACCTCCTCGAAGCTGAGCTCTGCGACAAAGTCCTTGACATCGTCAAACGCGGACAATTTGTCAAAGTAGCTGTCCAAATATAGGCCGATTTGAATAACTCTCGGGGTCACGCCTGAGTCGTTACCAGAGCTTCCTGGTACCACAGGCTGGCGGAATGCGGTGTCGAGGAGGGCGAGAGCAATGTTCTTCTTGTACATGGCGGTGTTGGTCTTGAGCGCAATGAACTCTTTGAGGATGCTTTGCACCTCGCCCAGGGCAGTCTCCTGATCCTTGGACTTGCTGGCAGCCAAGGCGAACTTCTTCCACACCTTGTAGTCGCAGACGGAAAAGGTCGGTGTCATACCATCAAGGCCCAGTCTGAGAGCCTGACGGCAAAGGTCATAGATGCGGTCCCATTCGCCCCACGACTCATAGGCATTGAGGGCTTGGTAGAACAAGTCCTTGCGGCCCTCCTTGAGCTGGGCAAGAGGTCCCAGTTTGGGGCTCTGCATGCGGCTGATGAAGTCTTCTTTGGAGCCATGAGAGAGCATGACACGGTAGTAAAGAGAGATCTCCTCTTCTTGAAGCAGGCCTCGATCTTTCGACTCGACTTTCTCGGCCTAAAGCTGGGGTTAGGCACTTTCTGGCTGACAAAGTGTGAATGATGCAGGAGCTCTGGGCGCGACATACGTTTTCAGTGATATCAGCCGCCCTCTCAAGCTGCTTAACCACAAGAAGGCTATATACCTTTTTGCTGGCCTCACTGCACTGGGGGCTAACCTGGACATGTCAGCTGTGGGTACTGGTCCCTCAGGGCATAGCATAGCGAAGACTCACTGAAAGAAGGTAGGTGAGAGTAATGCTCCAGAACATGTATTGGCGGTCTCCCGAGTTGGCAAAGGCCTTGTCCAGCGTCGTGGCAATCTGCTGAGCGCTCACGAGATCCCAATACTCCAGGCATGACTGAAGACATTTCACGGCAAACTTGCTCTTAGGGTTCGCTTTCACCCAGCGGGCTCTGAGGGGACCCAGCGTCTCGGCATACTCGGTGTCGTAGAGATAGTCTCGCGCAGCCCACTCCAGCAGTTCAAGAGTGTCATAGTCGGGAACAGCCTTGGACTTGACGAGCTCGTCGATGGCGATCAGTGCCGTACACCTTTCACTGGTGCCATCGAGCTGTGACTCGGCGGCGATTCTGATAGCCTAATGAGAAGTAGTGAGTGACTGGGCTGATGAGTAGTGTGAGGCAGTTCATGAAGAGTCTACCTCGTAGTAAGGGTCCTTGAGAGTTTTGAAGCGCTTGTCGGCCAAACGAATGACGGTGTTCCAGTTGCTGTCAGTGAAGGCGGTCTGTAACTGGACGTCGACGCTGTTTTTGAGGGCTGGGCGCCCATATCGTCCATAAGACATTGTTGATGTTTGCTCAGGTTGCTTGTTTGTCCGATCTCGGCGTTGGATAAAAAAATTGTTGACCAAAGAGAGAAAGGAGATTGGAAAGAAGGATCATAAAAAGAATGCTACCGTAGGCCACAGATTCGACCGGGTTGCACTGCACTTTTGTTGTTGACTTGGTGAGTTTGTCGATTCAGAAGGTTTTAAAGGTTGAGCTTGGCGTTGCCTTGAATGTGAGTGGCTCGTGCGACAGAGCGGACGTGGTGCCTACCTACTGTACCCTCCTATGTACTATACAAGTAGAAGTACCTGATGTACAGTGATCGATCGAGACCGGGGACCCCGCCGTGACCGAGCTGAGTGGCTCGGGCCTCACCGTCAATATATATAGATATGTAGATATCATATATACTTGACCATCTTCACTTCGGCTTGCTTAGTTGATGTTTTACTTGACCATTTCTTTTGCCCCCTTTCTACGGTCACCATATCACCCATTTTTTTCTCTATTCCCTCCCTGTCCTCGTTTGATGAACGATCAAACAGGTACTCCGCGTCTTCCGTAACCTAAACGCCTACCCATGCAAGTGCTTTACAAAGACTATTTATACAAACGCAAAAAGCAATGTTGCCCACGTTGATCTTCCTCCTGCTGCTCAGATTTCTTTTTCTTCCTTCTAGCCGTGGCTTCTCATATTATATCCTCCCATCAAAAAAGTCCGGTTGTTCAGAAGAGCGCACCCGCCTTCCTCTTCTGTTCCCGCCTCCTTTCGATCTGTATCCCCAGTCGTCAACCCGTTAGCATCGATATCTTGTACTTTTTCACCTCCCAATCCCGCAGCGGAGAACTACTAACCCATTGCTTCTTGCATTCCCTGTACGCCTCAAAGTAGTCCGAGCACATGGTTCGGTCTCCTTGGTTGCGGTGCAGACACCGTATACTCCGCTGAGCGGCCTCCTGGCACGGATCAAGGTATTCGCTTCGGCTCTTTCTGTACGTATCCAACTTCGCGGTCAGCCATTCTATCCTTTCTTCTTCTTCTCTCTCTGAGACAGTCCGCGGTCATGCCGTGTGGTAGAGAGACCAGCACATACCCTTCAAACTTGGCCCTGGTCTCCTCGTTCCATGGCTCCTTGTTTTCACTGCCAGCTTGCGCCATCCTGACTGTTTCCTTTGTATGTTTTGTTGTATCTTTACCCGGACGACGGTTTCTAGTAGGTACCTCGGCAACGGTCGAATCGAGGCAAGATATGGAAGTCGTTGATAGTTGGGTGCGCCCTGTCTCTCAGAGCAAGGATACGGATGTCGCGCAGCAAAGGGATCGGCACCGGAGTGGTTCTGGACTTGGAGTTAAGGTTGCAGAAAGTAAAAACGGACAAGTCGGCGTGGTTCGGGTCAATGATGGAATTGGAAACTGACGCGCGCGCGCCGGCCGGCAACGGGAAGCCAAAGGTGTCATGCACAGACCATGCAACTCACCTCGGTGTGGGCTGTCATGGTGGGGTGAACTTCTTATCGCATGCAGTGGTCGACAAGATAAGGGTCTTCCTTTCACTTGGCTCTGGAGCGACCCCAGAGTCCACTTGTCAGGGTTAGGGGTATACTCGAATCCCTGAATCATCTCGTGGAAAGGAGCATGACACTCGACAACATTAGTCTGTCGATGACGGACAGAGAATAGGTATGCTGGGTGATATGGCTTTCTCACTTTTACATATTAATATATCCTTTTACCTTCCAAAATCCTCTCGCAAAGAACCATGTCCGGGAGGAGTGTTCATCCGGTACTCGTTCACCAACTTATGTCGTGTATAAAGGTCATCGAGCTGTACTTGTATGTAAGAAGATGAAACTCATCGACCACTAGGCTGTCATGCTCAATATACATAAAGCGCGGATGGCACTGTCGATATTCAATCCATTACCGGTAACTCTTGAGTACGCCCATGTCTCTGTAATCAGATGATACACATGGCTATGTCCCTCGATATTTCGTCCAGACTCTTGTTCATAGCTGTCATGACGACTACAAGTACGGACCATGAAGAGACATTGATGGTCCTCGCCTTGTATCGCCCGTCAATACTAGCCACCAATTCAGTTACCACGTCCACTTGAAGTTTCACGATGTTCTAGAATCGTGGAAACATGTTGTTGGAAGCTAATGTTGACGGGAGCCTCACTTGGCAAAAGGGAGAGAAATGCGGGAGTAGCAGCAGAAATGGGTCCTGTAAGGTCAAAAATACGAAGACGCTAGTAAGTTTCAGGGTTAGTTGACCATAATCCCGCCTGGTCGATGTCGCGCACGTTGAGGCGGAGTCTGAAGTGGGGGGAGGGGGTCTCGGACATTTCCCATTTCCCATTTCCCACTCAGCAGGAACAGGGTCTCACATGGGCCGATGAAGACAACCTGACTTCCATTGGAGACAAGCACCTGGCCGAGGCTCCCGCTGAGGGGGAGGGGAGAGAGAAAAAGGGTCTGAAAGGGGTGAAGGCGGCCGTCAACAGGCAACCATCAGCAGCAACGAAGCGAGATCAACAGAAGAAGTGGAAGAAACAAACAGGAAACAGGAACAGAATAAGTGGAATTTGATCATCGTGATGGGCAGTACCATAGAGCCTTGTTTGCATTGCCATGTATTCCATTGTTTCAATTGCTGTCACACTTTTTCAAATCTTCGTTTCGTGCAGTGACCTGATGCACAAAACTCAGGAACACAGTGACCTGACAGCCTGCCCGCAGTGAAGGACTGGAGTCGAAAAAAAAAAAGGCTTGGATGGATCCTATGGCCGAAAAGGGACATCAAGGGAAGGGATTAATTGCACTTGCCCAGGACATTGCAGTACACTAGAGCGCGCATTGCATCCGTCCGATCCTTCCCATACTACCCCAGGCGCTGGCTTGGAACGGCTGTCCCTCTTATTGGACACTTTCATAAGTGGAGCATATAATGTTCGCCCAATTCGTTCCCCTTTCTCTCGCAAACCAGCATCCCAGCCAATCCCTGCCCAGCATGAGCGCCCCTTTCGGCCCCCTTTGACGATGCACTCCAGATCCAGGCAACACGGTTTTTCCTTACGTCAGGTCAGCCCGGGGAGAACGAACTGGGGGGGGGGGGGGGGGGGGG